AACTGCTAGGTTGGGAGAAGCTGGGACAGAGCAACGGGAGCTCACCCTGTCATGCAGATTTGAACCACCAACCTTCCAATCAGCAGCCCCAAGAGGCTCAGTGGTTTAGACCACAGCGCCACCCGCTCTCTGCCACTTAGATTAATTCATAAACATATGAACGGCTAAGATCTGCTGCCCCACAAAATTAAGACTTATTATACACCACCTTTCGTTTCAGGGCAGTGGAATTGATATAGGTAACCTCTTAATTATAAGATTAGAGCATATTCCAGCAGGTTGCTGGTATTCTGAGAAAGTCCAGGTCACATCTGTGACAACATCCATTCCCTGGGTAAAAAGCTGACAGCTCAGCAGGATCACACGCTGCTGGTGAATCAATCTCTCCACCTCGTCAGGTCCCTTTCCACATCACTGCCTGATTCTTCCAGGCAGATGGCGAACACTGTAGAGTCCTCTGCTGCAAATGGAGCAGCATGTGACAGAAATGGATGCTGCAATAGTCAGAAGTTGTGATACCTGGGATGGGGAAAATGTGGCTTTCTTGGAAGGTAGGAAAGAAGAGAGATGCTCTGTGAATCAGATTGCTGGATGGAGGAGAAGGTTCTCATTATAAGGCTTTGCTGGGAGCTGTGAAGGATAAACTGCATTGCCCAGAATTATTTGAAGGAAAGAATGTGCTTTGAAAGTATAGTGTGTACACAGCCTAAAACTGCAATTTGTTTTCGATGCATGCTGGATGTTTTGATGAGTTGCTTGATATTACCAATTGAAAATGCAAACACAAATAAAAAGTATTAGGTGTTAGTAAAGAGAAGCTGCCTGCCCTGCCATGATTAATTTCTCCTCTGCATGTTTCATTTTCCTGTGGCTTCCTTGATGCAAACCCCTAGACCTAGTCCCCACATCCTACTATAACTAAGTCTAAGTGCATGCAACCACAGTAATTGCATATTCTTTCCCTTAATCCCCCTATCTCAATTTCCCACCCCCTTCCTCTCTTGTCTCCCTTGGGTTATTTTCTAGATTGTAGACCTCCTGGGGCAGTGATCTGTCCACTCATTCTTTCAATGGATGACTCCATATAAACAGTTTATTGATAATTGTATTTGCAGCCAATGCTTTGCCACCTTGCGATCAGCCGCCTCTGTGTCAAAAATTATGGCGTATTCTGTTCGGCTGAATGTATGGTTCTGTCGTACTTTTAGGGGAAGAAAGATTAGTACTATTCTAATAGTACAGTGCCTCTCTCAGATCATTGTAGCAAGTTATTTTTGAATGAAATATAGTCTTGGACTTCATAATAACAATAATTTATTATTTATACCCCGCCCATCTGGCTGGGCTTCCCCAGCCACTCTGGGCGGCTTCCAACCAAATATTAAAATACATATTAATAAATATGACCGTTAAAATATTTTCATGTGCGCTGTTGCTGTTTTGCATTTATATCCTGCCTTTATTCTATCCTAGAACCCAAAGTGGTATACAGGAGCTTTTCAGGTTGCCAACTGACCAGGAAAAAGCAGCCTAGACTGTTTTTCAGTCGGCTTGATGGCAACAGAGATAAGCTTGATCAACTTCCAATGCCTGCTTATCAAGCTGTAGACTTGAACTGTTCTGTTAATGGCTATTAGTCATAATAGTTAAATGGAGGCTTCACTTGCCAGAGACTTGAGGCTAACAACACCTTCCTCCCTGGCAGCGCTCTCTCATGTAGAGAGAGCTCTACATGTCATCATGCTCATGATGACAACCATAAATTCAGTAGGTGTAGCTTTTGTAGCATTTGTACTTCATCTCGTAAGTTTCAACTGGCTAATGAAATAAAGAAAAAAAATCCTGATAAGTAAGAGGGAAAACATAACTGAAAATCCACTCGTCCTCATTTGTTTCTATGCAGTGTTGATTTACAGATTATACGGAAATTATAGTCCAGACTCTAAAATAATCACGCTAAAGTAAACCCATTAACAAGGTCTGTTCAACAGCCTTTTCGCTTTTGTAAGCGTGCTCAGTCTCGCAGCCTAAAAACTACACCTCCCAGAAGCCCGTGCGGCTTAGGGGTTGGTTCCAGCCAATCCGGGCAGGGTTCTTTGTTAGGTGCAAGGATGGCGGAGCCCAGGAACTAAGACGATTGTGTTTCTTTTGTACAGGAAAGGAAATCGGTAAGTGTTGGTAGCGCATTCTCCCCTTTTAGCGGCCAAATACCGCTTTGGCCAACCAGTTCTGCTTGCCAGAGCTAGTTATAGAACCCGGGCACCCCAATTTCCCACCTTTGTTTTAATTCCGGTGCAAACTATCTTCAGCTTTTCGCGATCTCTCTATTTGTTGAATGAATGCACCAGGTCCGATGTGTTCAGAATTTAGCAGGGAATCCCATCCCATATGTGTGCATATGAAATAAAGTCCCTCTGAATTTAACGGGATTTACTCCCAAGTAAGCATGTTTAACATTGCAACCTAAGAGTATACACTCCGGATCTCCAAATCAGGCCTAAATGTTGTGTATTAAGTGCTCTTGATTACTTGTTCTTGGTTCAAAGTATGAAAAGTGTCTTGCTGGCTTAGACCTAGCATCATTTATTTATTTGTAAGAATCTTAGCAAGTGCCAGGTGGTCCAACATAAATTAGTGGTTCACTATGATCTGCCTTCTCCCAATCTCTTTTCTAGTCTACATTATTTTTCTAGGATTATTTTTTTTAAGGACTAGTGTCTTTGACCTGGGTTCTCAGACCTCCCTAATAGATGAGTAGCTGGATGTAGTTATTCAAATGTAAGATGAAGATATTTCATATCATTTTACTTGTCTCATGCGTTGGTTAACAACCACTTCATGGATTACTCCTTTTTTTTTTTTGTAATGTAGCCTAAGGTTGACACTGTTAGACTCAGTGGAACTTCCAAAGAAGCATGATGCACAGGAATGGATTCTCAACATGTTTTACAAGTACAACTGTAAAGTGGGGACTATGATATGTTGTTGTATCTTCAGAGTGCACCATCCAGTGTTCATTGTGCTTTAAAGAGGGCAGGTTTCTTCGCTGAGGAGTTTACAGCCTAAAACGTGTCTCATAAACATATGCTCATTCAGGAGCGTTGGTTAGTAATGGCTCTGTGAATGTATATTTAACAGCAAATACTGGCTTGTGAAAAAGCCCTTTTTTCTGAGCAGATGTAAGCTGGTGTGAATGCCTGCTTCTCACCTGTTCTGTGTGTGTGAGAATCTCTGCATAGGTGTCCTTGTTCTCTTGGTCTTGTAAACATAGGACCAGCCAGCTTTGCTGGTTTACTAGTAAACTGGGATTTTCCCAAAAGAGGCGTAAGAAGAGGCCTGCTGGATCAGATGAAAGGTCCATCTAATTCAGCATCTCCTTTCCCACAGTAGCCAATAGACACCTCTAGGACGCCTACAAGCTTGGTTTGAATATAGTGGCCCTTCCCAGCTGTTACCACCTTCCAACTGGATTTCAGTGGTTTACAACAAGAATATGGAAGCTCCATATAGGCATCAAGACTAATAGGCATTCATATATTTTTTCTTCCTTAAATTTGTCTAATCCCTTTTAAAAACTATCACCACATCTTGTGGCAGCGAGAATAAATAAATTATACATTGTGGTGATGAAGGACTTAAGTCTGACAAGAATCATCTACAAATCAAGTTCGTTGTGTGACTATGTTCCAGTACTATGGGTCGCCATTTTCTCCACATCATGTCCACTCTTCATTTTTTTCTTTCCAAAAAAAACCCCCACCCAAGTGATTTATTCCTTCCTCCTGGGAAAGGTACTCTAACCACTTGATCATTTGAGTTGCCTCTTCCTGCACCTTTTACAGCTACATATCCTTCTTGAGATGAGCTTAACAGAATGTATGCCACAGGGGTATGGAGACCTGATCTGGGCCTGATCCAGCAGACCTGATCCTTCTCTCTCCTACCTGCAGCAAATGGGATGGATTAGTGTGATGTGCAAATGTGGTCTACCTGTCCTGCTGATCTTACTCTTTTAATTTTGGTTCTGGGTCAGACAAACCAGATAGAATGGTGGGATTTACCAAATATCTTCTGCTTTCTGTAGCTCAGCCCTTCTGTTTCTTAGACAAAAGCATTAGAATTTAACATGCGAAAATGATTTCCTCCCTAGGCCTGGGAGTATAAGCCAGGAATTCAGGTTTCCCACTTTTTCTACCACCCAATTTGCAAGACCTACCAGTGCCATTTCATATTTGCTGCATTTGTATAGGCATGCAACATTTGAAGCAAGGTTCAGAGACTTGTTTTTGATCATTTGCAACATTAAATTGCAAAATCGCGCTATATTTTAAGCAAAGGAATTTATGCCTTTAGTCATCAGTAATTAAATGGGGTGCCTGACATAGTCACTCAGGCTGCAGTCATAAACATAATTAGAGAATTGGTTCTTTTGAACACAGAGGGACTTACATCCTGATTAAAAACATGTATAGGATTGCATTGTTTAAAACCAGTGGGCTGGTCAGAGGTGCTCCTGTAGAATAACGACCTATCTAAAACCTGGACATGCTTATGTATGTGCACAAGCTGTATGAACGATGCTTCCTTCCCTAACTCACCTAGCACCGTATGGCACTACCTGCTTTTCAAATGTATTTTTTGGAAGTGGAAATAGAGGACAGGATTTGGCTGCCTCTCACATTTGAATGTCAAGTACTGTTCTTCGAGGGAAACAGCTTGTCATAAGCCAAATGTCTAAGCAAAACGGGGCCTGTATATGGCATATAGGAGGTGGGAGGGATAAGAGTATGGGCTTGGGAAACACAGGTTCAAATCTTTGTGTACAGGAAGTACATGGAAGGCACCGAGAAAGGGTTTTCTTAGCCTAAAGGATGTAGGGGTTACTCTGTGCACACTGGAAAATGTTATAGGGTTGTTTAATAATAACTGGAGTGCTGGAAACTCAACAGGGATATATGGCAGAGTTGCTGTGTCATGTTTTTCTGTTTCCTTTAGGACAGGAAGATGATGAAAGTGGTCAACCTCAAACAGGCCATCCTCCAGGCTTGGAAGGAGCGGTGGAGTGATTACCAGTGGGCCATAAACATGAAAAAGTTCTTTCCCCGGGGGACTACATGGGACATCCTGAATTTAGCAGGTCTGGTTCAAAGTTCGTACAAATCATAAGTGTTGAGTTTGTTTTTCCTAAAGTTAACTTTGTGACCTATAAGCAATAAACTGCAGTTGCCTACTGTTTTGACAGCATAGATATTAGCACTTGACTGAAAATGCTCCAGCCACTGCGGTGGTTTCTAGTTCTTTATAGCACTGCATTATATTAAGTTTAGTTGCTACAGGGAGATCCATCAGTTGCATCATGTTAGAGATGATGCAGGTGGTGCTGCAGGTTTGGAGTAACTACCTTTCTCCTCCTGAAAAGAAATATATTTTCTGTAGTTTGGGTGCTGCCTAAAGAACTTTAGCAAGTTGACAGCTACAAATTATGAAATGGATAAAAAAAGTAATATTCGAGACTTACGGCTTTTCCAAATGTATCATCTCTTCCCTCTTATGCTATGCTACTTGCACATGAGTAAGAAGGGGTGTGTGTAGTTTGTTTGCTTTCAGACGCTTTAAATTGTTTTTCTGTTTTGATGTGTACCACCCTGTGCTCCACCGGGAATAGAATAGAAATTTAATACAGTAAATGAAAAAGAAAACTACAGGCCTGGGTTTAGATGACATGCTAAGCCAAACCATGGATTAGCTCGCAACAGCAGGCCCAGAGAAGGAATAAAGTGGCTGGAAGTTCCTCTCTAAGTACCCTCATGCCTGTGTTCATGCTAAGCCATAGTTCGGCTTAGTGTTATGAGCAAGCCAGACCATTCTCAACTCTGTTAAAAATTTGTCTTTGCTTAGGCTCTTGCCAGTGTATTAACTAAAGTTTTTGTTGATTAATCAACCAATTAAACTGAGGTTGGTCATTGGGCTGATGTGTGGTTCTGATACACCCCAAAAGGTGGGATAGGAATGAATTAAAAAGCACATAGTTATAATAATTAGAAGCATCAGTTTCACATTGCGTGCATTGAAAATTAAAGAAGAAAAGCAGAAGGAGGGATCTAAGGGAAATCAGACCAACTCAACTGTTCTGGGGTCTCTTAATGTTCTGATTGCTAGAACTGGAGTGATTGAGAAGAAGTAATGGGTGGAGTTATGAGAGCAAAACTCCTGGTTGTCTTCTTGGAACAAGAATGAGTAGTACAGAGTTCAAATCAATCTTATGTCCTGTTTAAACTTTGGAGCAAGCCTATTTTCAAATCATGCTGTAAAGATAAAGGACCTCTGGATGGTTAAGTCCAGTCAAAGGTGACTATGGGGTTGCAGTGCTCATCTTGCTTTCAGGCTGAGGGAGCCAACATTTGTCCATAGCTTTCCGGGTCATGTGGCCAGCATGACTAAACCACTTTTGGCACAACAGAGCACCGTGATGGAATTCAGAGCGCACGGAAACACCGTATACCTTCCTGCCACAGTGGTACTTATTTATCTACTTGCACTGGTGTGCTTTCAAACTGCTAGGTTGGCAGTTCTCAAGTAGAGAACTATGGTTAAACCATAGTTTATCTGTTGTTTGTCTGGATTTGAACATAATGCTAATCTGTAGTAAATTACAAACAGAAGTGGAAGTGTCTGAGCACCTCTTCATGGTCACACCAGAGGATGAGGACGACATGCAAGCCCAAGATTCTCCTGGGCTTGTTCACATAATGATAAACCATAGTTCGCTGTTCCATCTGAATGGGACCACAGTGAAAATTAAACTTGTTTCAGATTTAATTTTCTAATACAGTTACACCTTCAGACCATGTTGCCCTCTAGATCCTGAAACCTGAGACCTAAGTAGACACTGTCAACAGCCTTGTAATACTGGTTTCATAACATTACGGACTAAAAAGCTTGCAATTAATATAATATATTATATATAATATATATATATATGCCTTTCGTAGATTTCACGGGTACAGGAATGTAGGTTTGTGTCCTCGTGGTGTTCTTCCCGGTAAAAGTTGGGGTGTTAGGCGACGTTTCGACGAGGTCTCACTCGTTCCATCTTCAGGCTGAAGCCGAGCACCAGCCTGAAGAGACGAGTGAGACCTCGTCGAAAACGTCGCCTAGATCACCCCAATTTTACACGAAGACACCCGAGGACAACCAAAACCTTACATATATATTATAATATATAATATGTGTTGTGTGTGTGTAGTTGTGTGTGAATGATACCTTGAATTCTTCTATATACTGAATTTTGTGTTACCACTCCCTGTTAGATTTTCTGGGGCTTCCTGTCTTTTGGGCTGTTGCTTTGCATTCCTCTCTGTTTTAATATTTCTTTTTCTTTTCAAAACCCAGATGACACTTTTATGGTCATTTTAGTTATCTTTTCTTGTACGGTACAAGCTTTGGAATTAAATTTGCACAGCACTTTTTTTTTTTTTAAAGGCTGCATAGCTTTTACGGCTGGGATCTGTTTTGTTTAATTTTGTAACATACCATGTGGATTAATGATGAACTATAAACTGCAGTGATCATCATTAATACTCCTGCGTGACTTCTGGAGTTTTCCAGCTGAACCACAGAAGATTTGGGTTCTTTGTTTGGACGTGACAACTTTATGTCTGCATAAGCTGTGGAAACTCTCCTCCACACGAAGGCCATGGATGGACTGTAAAGATGGGTGCCTTTGTGAGTAGCTGTAGTAGTTGGAGGAGGAATAATCACTGTGTTGACATTGATAACGCTCCAAAGGTCATAGGAGATGGATATGCCCATTGGAGGGAAGTCCTCATGTTGTGAACTGCTTTAGGTAGATGGAACTGTGAGCAGGCCTAGCGGTTGCTAAGGCGACACTGTGAAGGGTACCTTAGGAAGGACTGTAGTAAACTGAGCCTTGAGTGGGCTGGTCAGCCTTAAAAGGGCACACCTGTGGTGGCTGTAGCTGTTGCTACGGGCAACTCCAGAATACAGATAACTGAGAAATGATGCATTGTAAGCAATAGCATTAGACATAGGATGCAGCACCACTGGTTAGGCCTAGCAACTGCTAACACTGGAACAACTTAATGGCTGAGATTGCTGTTTGGGGTAGTCCCCCGCTGGGCCTAAATTGTTGATAGGGGTGTTGTTCACTGTGAAGGTGTGCATCGCCTGAATTGTTAGTTTGCCTTTGGCGTAGTCTCTTTCTAGTTGTGGTTGGCGACCTTTTGAGTACACTGTGGATGTTGATGGGAGGCAGGGCCGGATTTAGGTTTGATGAGGCCCTAAGCTACTGAAGGTAATGGGGCGCTCTATATGTCCAGCTGTCCTTTGTCAACAACAAATTGTCACTGTTTTTTGTGTTAAATATATGCTATATGGTAATTTGTGGAACTAATAGCTCCATACACAACACAAAACACTTGCTGTATGCAGGTTTTATTTTATTTTTTATCTTATATTTTTGAAATGTACATCCTGGGTTTTTTTCCTTTTAAAAAAATTTGGGCCCCCAAGAGAGTGGGGCCCTAATATAATTTTTATTATTATTATTATTATTATTATTATTATTATTATTATTATTACCCCACCCTTCCCGGTTCAGAAAACTGGGCTCAGGGTGGCTAACAACAAATTTAAAACACGTAATTGTAGAAGCAGCATAAAATACAGTATAAAAACATGAATAAAAATAAAATTCAAAGTTCTTGTTTAGCTTATACGTGAATCCGGCACTGATGGGAGGGGTGTGTCTTTTATACACCGGTAGGCAAAGAGGGCCAACCATGCAACGGGGGATTGTGGCCTTTTTGGGGGCCTGATTTGAAAAGGGAGCGGGAAGTAATAGTTAAAGGGCACACAGTAAAATGGGTTTGACTTGGAAAATCCCCCCCCTACACCCCTGTAGTTATTCAGATGGTTAATCAAAAGCTTGACTGAGCAGATAAGACGTATGCTGCCCCTTTCAGCCTTGCCTAATCTGGCATGTTGGCAGGCTGCCACTGGGAAGCGCATGCCAGCAGTTGGTGCTCATTCTGCTGAGAGATCTTGCCTGCCATCTCTCCACAGCCCCTTCCCTCCATACCACCTTCAGTCTTAGGAAAAAGCATCTGCATACACTTCTGCCGCCAGCGAGCAGAGGTGAGGTCTGAGAAGAGTCTGTGTACATGTCCTTTTCCATCTGAGGCCGCAGAGGTCAGGCAGAGGTCATTGCATTGACTGCAGCAATTTCTGCACATGGGGAGAGTGTGTGGCCACGGTGTCCATTTCCTATCCAGAATGCCACCAACTGCCTCTTTTCTTCCTTGAATTATTTACTCCGCCGCCGCTGCCAGAGAATGCAATATTATAGCATCCTTGCAATTCCTGAGAGTTCCCCACGTTTTGTGAGAGGCCTTTGCCATAATAGTCTTTATTCTTCATGAGAGTGTATATACATTTCCCAGATTGAATTTCTTTCCTTTTTTTCCTTCTTTTTTTTAATTGCAGAAGCACTTCTTGAGCAAGCCATGATTGGCCCATCGCCAAACCCACTGCTCCTATCCTATCTGAAGTATGCCATTAGTTCCCAGGTAATAATCCCATTGTAGACCCTTTCATCTTCAGAGTGTGTAAACACATTAATGGGTGAATTATTTAGTTAGGAAATCTGTATGGTTTTTTTTTAAAAAATGATTTTTTTGACAGAACCATGACCTAAGTAACTCGACAAAGTTTTCCTGCTTTTTTCCTTTCTGAAGTACTTGACCACTTTTTTTTTTTACAATGCATAATTTTTATGAAATAAATAAACAAATATTTATTTATTTTGCATGATTCTGTAGTTCTTACTCGTTTGCATAATTTATTCTGGTTTTGCTAAATTGTAGGGAATGCAGGAGGGACGCGGGTGGTGCTGTGGGTAAAAGCCTCAGCGCCTAGGGCTTGCCGATCGAAATGTCGGCGGTTCGAATCCCCGCGGCGGGGTGCGCTCCCGTTGCTCGGTCCCAGCGCCTGCCAACCTAGCAGTTCGAAAGCACCCCCAGGTGCAAGTAGATAAATAGGGACCGCTTACTGGCGGGAAGGTAAACGGCGTTTCCGTGTGCTGCGCTGGCTCGCCAGATGCAGCTTTGTCACGCTGGCCACGTGACCCGGAAGTGTCTCCGGACAGCGCTGGCCCCCGGCCTCTTAAGTGAGATGGGCGCACAACCCCAGAGTCTGTCAAGACTGGCCCGTACCGGCAGGGGTACCTTTACCTTTACCTTTAGGGAATGCAGGGGCATTGAAGCTCCACCCCAAACCACTGGAAATCTTATTAAGAGCCTTTTCTGGATTCTGAAATTTCAAAATAAGTTACCCACACACTTTCGGGCACATCTTTGCAACCACAAGTGCTAGACATTTGTTTTTTTTTTAAAGCAAAACGTGTGCATCTGAAGAAGCAGAATTCTGTGGCAGTCTAGTCTTAAATGTTATATTTTTGGTTTAGGAGTTCAAGGGTTGTTACAAGCCATTGGACCAATTAGAAAGAAAAATAAGTGAATGTTTACTAAGCAGTTGCTACTAAAGGACCTGTGGGTCCGAAAGAGAATCTTGGGATATTTTGTTCACCTTACGCCAAGTTGATACTGACAGTGCATTTTCCCACATAGCAATTTTCCCAAGATGAAAATGACAAATGGCCTTTCCTCTCTCTTCCTCTTACTACAAGAGGTGCTTGGCTGTGTGCATACAAGATGCTTGCAAGACCCCTCGCCACAGAGAGAAGCTTTTCAGTTGCTTTTTAACTTCCTTCCTCCTCTCTACTTGCTCACTGTAAAGTTGATGTGAAGCAAATATGCCATCACCTAAAAATGTCTGTTTAAATTTGTGCCAGACCAGTGCTTGAGCAACAAGCTGCGTCCCTGTTAAGTGACCTTGTCGCCCCCCCTCGGCGGTCGAAATGGCAAGGCTTGTTTGTGGATTGGTTTGTTTAAATGTTATCTTTGGCTTGTAACCATCTCTCTCTCTCTCTCTCTGTATTGTTTACAGATGGTGTCCTATTCTTCAGTTCTGATGGCCATCAGCAAGGTAGCATTCCAGCATTTCTCTCTCCACCTTTACCTAAATCCTGAGCACCGCTTTCTTTCCTAATATCCCTTGATAGAAGGCATCAGTGAATACTGAGGGATTGCGGGAACTTCACTGTAGCATTGTGTATGATATACAACCAGCAGCTTTTGTAAGCTCAGGACAGAAGCACAGCAATGGCATGTTTCTAGCCCTCATTGTTATGTACAAATGTAGTTACTATTGGTGACTGAAAGCTGTCAGAATATACGTTGCAGGTTTTGCTAAACTGAAGTTTTGAGAGGAGATGAGGCTTGTTTGCATTCTAGCATTCTCCGAGTTTATCCCTGCCTTCTTTTTCAGACATGTATCTTTACCTTCTTTCCTAGTCCTTCACAAGTGAATCAGTATATGCTTCACAATATGGTAGAAAATAAAATAGAAACGGCATGGTTTGTCGCTATTTCAGAATCCTGGGTTCTTTACAGAATTTGAGATTTTAAAAGACTTACAAAGCCCTTGCTAAACTGGAAAAAAGAGATCATGATGTTTACACAGGCAGCAGATCTGAATCCAGCCCTCCTGAGCCTCTCACATGGTAGTCTTGCTCACCTACTTGAGATCCATTAAATGCAGCTACCAGGAGTTGAACTTAAACTCTCATATATAAAAACATCCTCTTCACTGCTGGGCTTCCAGCCCTGTATAAGTGTAGGCTGAGTAGAGGTTAGCAGACAAAAGCCAACAGAAATACAAATGGTACACAAATGGAATATACAATACTTTTCCCATAGCGTTTCTTTGCAGAGTTTCTTTCGTCAGTTACTAAAGTATTTGCAAAGTGGGCCTAGTTTAAAAATGTACGCCCCAGAGGGTGTTTGCCGTGGACCCCCTCTTGCCCCCTCTCCCCTCGTTTTGCACCAGGAAGACTCCAAATCACTTCTGGATTTCTTTAATGGATAGCCAGGGCAAAATGCAATCCAAACCAAAACCAAGGTGCTGATAGTTGATGATTCAGTGGATTGGGGAGTTGATGTTTTGCCCATTCTGGATTGAGTTGCACTCTCACTTAAGGAGCAGGTTTGTAACTTGGGGGTGGGGGTGGGGGGGGTTCTGTTACATCCAGCCCCCTCCTTAGACGCTTGAGTTTCATACATGGGACAAAGCGCCTTTTCATCAGCTAGGCGTACTAATTGTGGCCCCTTCTAGGCAGAGATGGCCTTGGTGCAATGATCATTGCTCTTGTAACAGCCAAGCTAGACTATATGAGGTGCTGCAGCTGGTTCAGAACATCGCTGGAGTGAAATAATTCTGAAACTCCAGTACTGATTCTAATAAAATGCATTGGAACTGGTGCACAGCTGGACTCAATTCAAGAAACTGTGATAAACTGTACTACTTTTTTTATTTATTTCATAAAAATTTATATGGCATTTGATTATAAGAAAAAGAAACTTGTACTGTATTTTTGAACTGCACCACTTCAAATGGAATTAACAAAAGCCTGTGTAGGAAGAAAACAAGGATCTCACGGTCCTAACCTAGCCATCTCCTCAGTGTGTCAGTTTTCTATGTAAAGTGTGAGATTGATGTAATTTTTACATGAAGTATTTAAAAAACTGTCCCACAACTCTACTCTCGAGTAGTACAGTCTTCGGAGCAATCTACTAAGTGGTTTTGCTGAGAATGTAGACATGAATGGCCGTTGTGTCAGGGACTATAAAATCACAAGAATATCAGTCTTACAAGGATCTGCAAGGCAAAATGTGAAATGGAAACTGGAAATCAGTGTACAAGTGTTCTGCTTAGCCTACTGAGGATTGAAATCTCTGCATGACTACAGTCTTGGGGCTGATCATATCTCCTCTTCCCCACCTACCACATTAGATTCCTTAAACTTGCACATGTTTCACCATTCTATTGACCTAGGCCTGGCCTATAGCTTCCAAAACAGTTTGTAGTTCGTATCGTGATATCGGTTTCATAATTTTTGACCTGGCAATATATTGCAAATTGTGTGTGTGCGCTCTATGCAAAAATCTAAATGTGGGAGAAACCATGAAGCCAGCCAAAATCTCTACATAGATCCAGATTTCAGACATTGTGATATATCAGTATATCACAGCGTTTAGCTGGTGATATATCAAAAGCTGAATACCAGACATCGCCCAGCCCTACTGTTCGCCTCTACATAGTTCCATCCATATTTCAGACACTGCGATGTTTACCTGGTGATATATTGCAATGTTGAAAACCAGATATCACCCAGCTGTGACTCTTAGCTGTGTTTATAAGACCAAGTGTGCACTTCCAGCTCACAGTTCTTTCCTTTCTTTTCACGCTTTGATTTCTCTCTTCTCATAGAATGTATGAAGAGCCTTATAAATCAGACCAAAAGCCCATATAGCCCAGTATCTTATTCTTGGAGTGGCTAGCTAGGTGCCTATGGGAAGCCTGCATACAAGACCTGAGCACAACGGCACTCCCAACTTGTGATTCCAAGCAACTGGCAGTACACAGCCATCATGGCTGGTAGCTTTACATGCTGTGAATTTGTCTTCATTCCCTTTTGAAGCTGTCCCAAGTCCGTGTTTTGCATGCTTTTCTTTTGACACCAGCTCTTGCTTTTGTTTTACCTGTTTCAGTTTGATGACTTCTCCCGAGACCTCTGTGTCCAGTCATTGCTGGAAATCATGGATATGTTCTGTGACCGGCTCAGGTAGGGAGTGAGGGATACTTTCCAGTACACACGTATGTAGTGCGCCATAATCCAGGGTGGGCAGAAGCTAAACAGTAATCAGCTAATGGACCACCTGGCACCTGCTGGTTGTTGGGATTGTTGAAAAAGAATTACTGAGTAGGTGGGCCTTCATCTGATCTGGCAAGGGACTCCTTAGGTTCTTAAATAAGAGCACGTACCGTACTTTTCCGTGTATAAGACTAGGTTTTTTTCTTTTAAAATCATGCTGAAAAACGGGGGTCATCTTATATATGGGTATTAGGGTGGATGTTTGATTGGTTGCTGCCGCATCTGTTAGCACCTATTGTGCGTGTTATTGGTTGCTGCGGCAGTGGTTGGTGTTGATTGGTTGACGCTGCGGCAATTGGGCGGGTGATTGGCAGCTTCTGCCGGTGAGCAGACAGACAAGAAGCAGACTTTGCGATGTGTGCGGGTGAGTGATTTTCAGCAATTCCCCCTAAAAAAAGCTCAACAGCCCTGGGTAACCCCCCACCCAAAGCTCAACAACTCTGTGCCATCTCCCCCCATTTTCTTAAATTTGAGTCCCTCAAAATAGGGGGCGTCTTATACATGGGGGCGTCTTATACAGGGAAAAGTACAGTACTCTGTTTTGCTGAACTGTGCCTTGCCTCTAGTTACTGGTAGGTAGCTGTGTTGGTCTGCTGTAGTCGAAACAAATGCATGCACACGAAAGCTCATACCAAGAACAAACTTAGTTGGTCTCTAAGGTGGTACTGGAAGGATTTTTTTTATTTTGTGCCTTGACTTTTAGGAGATCCTAAGTATGCACTCCTGCATTGTAAATTGGATCATGGTAATTCTAGCTTTTTAAATAAAGCTCCTACAAGACTGAAATTGACCCACAGCAGACATAAACAACAACTAACAGCCACCAACTACATCTCCTAATAATTAAAGCAGAACTAATTTGCATTGGATATACAGTATACTTGCCCATGTAAGAACATGAAAGTGTAATGAGAGGTTTCTTCACCCAACAAAATGCTTACCAGAAAAAGATTAGAGAAGGGAAAGACTATGCTGAAATGGCAAAACTGTCCAGAAAGCTCAAGGACCAAGAAGACAAGAAAGTCAAGAAAGAATGGGAAAAGTTTATAATTTATTTAGGAGACCACTGTAAGCTGATGAAAACATTGGCAGAGTTTTAATCTCCCTTGCAATGTAACAGATACTATGGACAATATGGGTAGGTATAAAATACAGATTAAGAAATAATATGCAATTGAAAATGTTGACAATAGGACCCATGGAGGGGATGGGGAGAAGTCTTAAGATTCAGAGTAATCTCTTTATATGGATGTGTATTTGGTATGACTATAAATTTATATCTGTAAAATCAAAAACGATTTTAAAAAAGAAGAAAAAAGAACATGAAAGTGTATTGCTAGATCAGACCAAGGTCTAGCTACCCCAGAGTGTCTGTAGAGTATGTTCTTGATAGAGTGTCTCGGAGATAATGGGGCTGTATGCCATGCTAGTCCTACTCAGAGCAGACCTATTGAAAATAATGAACCGAAGTTCATCATCTCCATTAACTTTAGCGGGTCTATTCTGAGTATGACCAGCATTGGATACCACCCTATGATGGCATACTAGAGTGGAGGTGCTTTCTTAGGTAGGTTGGCCCAAGCCACAGAAGTCCTTGTAGCTCAAAATCAGCTACTAGACTTGTGATGTAAAGCAATGGAGAGCCACAGGAAAGCTTTTTAGCCTATATAACATGCTGTATGACAGTATTAAATGTGACAACGTGCTACTTTTTAAATATAGATTCATCAAGTGCCTTGTCCAGTGGCCGTAAGTAGCTAGGGACAGAGTTTGTACAGGACACGCATATGCGTGCCCACAAAATACAGAGCATTGGAGTTTGGAGGATGAAGAGCCCTTACAATGAAAATACCTAAAGTGGCAGCAATATGTGCTTAAACCCCCCGAGTTGCATGCAGTGACTGATATTGCAAATGTTATATTCGCAACCGTGGAACTAGAAATGCCCTTTTTAAAATGTGCAGAGTGATGTATCAGTAAAAGAACACAAGAATTGTTAGGAAACCCAGTTCTGCCCTCCGTACAGGAGAACCACAGGTTTTTCATGGAACTCTTATATCTTTGGTTTTATCAAAGAATAAAACCCCTGCCTTTCTAAAATCTTGACAAATCCTGTGATATTTTTTCTATAAGAGCCCTTAGTTTATTTAGAGCTAACAGGTGAGTACACTGGAGCAGACTGAAACAGGAGGAAGCAGGAACTTTCCCTTCCTACAAGAAAACAGAAACAATGAATATTAACCTGTCACCAGAATGGTGATAAACAGCTGTTCTCAGCCACATACAAAGCCGACGACTTAATCCTCTCCCTGGTTAATTCAATCTTCTGTTTTTCAATTTGATCAAAACCCTTCAGGTCTGGGATTATTTGTTCCTATTGCAGTAGTGCTTGTCCCGTTGAGAGGGTTTCTTCTTCAATCCTCGTTCGCTTTCTGAGCCAGGCCACTTTAATCATAGGCTTGGATAATTTTCCTTTCCCCTTTTTAATTTGTTTAAACAAAGGCAAGTACTGTGGCGATGGTGAATGTGACAGTGTACCCAGCAGTGCCACAGGGTGCAAGCTCCAGATGCTTTGATTTCTTCCAATCATCGATTCTGGTGTTCAAGGATGGTAGGAGAAATCCCCCATTATCCTCTCCCTTCCTGGGGTTGCTGTGAAGCCCCAGTAAAACAGTATTGGGCAGAGATGCTTGCAGGCTTAAGGAGGTTGGGCAACAGAGTTTTGCGACTTGAGCCATTCTCTCAGCCCCTACATTCTCCAAGTACTGCTGTGTGATGGCAGTAAGGATATGTCACATTATTGTGAATAGCTTTTAAAAGGTAAAGGGACCCCTGACCATTAGGTCCAGTCGTGGCCGACTCTGGGGTTGCGACGCTCATCTTGCTTTATTGGCTGTGGGAGCCGGCGTACAGGTTCCAGATCATGTGGCCAGCAGAACTAAGCCACTTCTGGCGAACCAGAGCAGTGCAGAGGTACTGCCAGAGCGGTACCTATTTATCTACTTGCACTTTGATGTGCCTTCGAACTGCTAGGTGGGCAGGAGCAGGGACTGAGCAACGGGAGCTCACCCCATTGCGGGGATTCGAACTGCCGACCTTCTGATCGGCAAGTCCTAGGCTCTGTGGTTTAGACCACAGAGCCACCCGCGTCCCTTGTGAATAGCTTTACGTACATATTATCTCAGTGATTCTTAAAATAGTCCCGTAAGGTAGGTACCTGAGTGTTGTTACGCTTATATTGCAGATGGAGGGTTGAAGCTGAGATAATGGCTTGCCTGTTCCTGTTGAAGATATGAACCAGGAACTTCTTGGTTTGCAGTTTAGTCTCTTAATAGGCTGCACAGAGTCCCTGAAAATGTACTTGGTCTTCTTTTCACTGAACCACACAGCTTTGCAGCTTTTATTCACTACTTCCTATGGATGACATGAAGGCACCTTATGTCATAAATGCATCTGCCTCCACCCAATCCCTTGTCTATTGCATTAAGCATCTTCACATAGTAAATATGCTTAGACTTGCCAGACCATTGGGACTCTCAGGAATGAGGCTACTGTATCTCTTCAGAAAGGGCACTTAGAGTGCTCAGACATCACTGTGGCAAAACCAGTTACTGTGAAACTCGCATGAGGCAGCTGAGGAAGAGGAAAATTTCCAACAACAATTTCCAACCCCTTTCAGTGTTCCTCCCTTCTTGCTGTACTCAAACAACAGCAGAAATTTGAGTAAAGCAAGGATGGAGAAACACTGAGGGACTGTTCTTTTTTTAAAAAAAGCAAGCAAACTAGTTTTAACGAGGAGAAATAGCAGAGCTGGGTGTAAAGAAAAGGAGAGGGGACAAGGCAAGGAAACGGGTTATCTGTGTGCAAGAGAGAGTTCAGAAAAGTAAGGAGGGGGTAGGAAAAGGGGGAATGAAGGTGAAAATGAGAGGGCAAAGGGGACTGCACAAAAGGAGGGAGTGTGAGGCCTGGGAATGGCGTTGAAGATGAAGGCATGAAAAGGTACCGTATTTAGGTGGCCATTCACTGTTTTTCTACTACAGTGGTACCTCTGGATAAGAACAGGATCCGTTCCAGAGCCCCGTTCGCATCCTGAAGTAAACGTCTGCGCGGGTTGCGATTTGCCGCGCATGCGCGTGACATCATTTTGACTGTCTACGCATGCGTGAACGGCAAAACCCAGAAGTAACATGTTCCGTTACTTCCGGGTTGCCGCGGAGCGCCACCCGAAAGCGCTCAACCTGAAGGAACTTCAACCCGAGGTATGACTGTAGTTCAGGCCTCCTGTCCTGCCTGTCTCATTTGGCACAGTAAAGCAGAACACAAATAGAAAAAGACCTTCCCTGGTTGTGTTCACATTCAAGTTGTCTTTTCTGCTCCCATCTCTGTCCTGCTTCCCCTCCTCCTGAGAAGTTACTGGATGGTCCTCGACACACTTTTCTTTTGGAGGTTCTTTCGTTGTCTCCCAGGTTCCCACGTGCATCTGAGTGGAGCTTGGAGTGGGGGGGGGATGAGACCTGGAAAATGATGCAGGTGTCCCAAAGTGAAGTTCTTAGGGCCACCAAAGTCATGTGACTGAATTTGCCCTCTCTTTTTTGCTTTTTGTGCAGCTGCCATGGCAAGGCAGAAGAATGCATTGGCCTCTGCCGTGCCTTGATGAGTGTCCTCAACTGGATGCTGCGCTGTGCTGCCTTCTACACAGAGAAGATGAAGGAGCCTCTGGAGCAAGGGTCTGCTGAGAACCAGCTCACAATGTGCCTAGAGCGGCTGGCAAAAATCCTGGGCAGCACCAAGAACCGGGCCCTGATTCATATAGCCAAGTTGGAAGAGACACGTACGTGGCTGGTGGTCTTGTGGGAGAGAGGCAAAATATTTACATTGAGAACTGTAGGGCTTGATTTGAATCCAAGATTCCAGTGCCAACTACAGGACTCTCCTGTAGTTTGGGTATGGATTTCCCCCCCCCCAAATCACAAGGGCCCTTTACAAGATCTGAAGTAGCACCACCCCAGTCTTCTTTATTCACGGGCCTTGTTTTTTCTCCTTTGCCTACATGGAGATTGCACTGCTGCTTCCCTATTGGGCAAGCCTGCTGTTTCACAGCTTTCCCTCAAAAAAATTAATATTTGGAAATACTCTGATGCCTGTTTTTAAACTTCAGAGTCTCCATTGCCTTTTTAAAAAGTTCAACATGGAAGCAGCATCTTCAGCGTTCGAGGTGTGATCCCAAACATTAATAAATTTACCTAGCCTCAGTTTGAGGAAACGGTTTCACAAAGAGGTAGACTACACTCTTAGAAGGTCCTGGGGTCAACCCCTAGCATCTCCCAAGGCAGCAGAACTATTACCAAGGGCTAAGAGCTGATTGGAACTTAAAATGCTGCTTTTCCTTTTTAGCTTCCTGGAGTGCGATCGAACAATCTCTTTCCAAGCTGGGAGACAATTTAGGACACATCAGCAACAGCCAGTTGCAAAGCCAGGCAGAGGAGTGCATTGGCCTTGTCAAGAGGTGGGCAAATGGCAGCTGCATGGTGAAGAGCAAGCTTTTTCCTCTCTGTACACAAACGGAACCGAACTTCTAATACCTCCTCTTCCTCCCTGTCCCAATTTTCCACACAGTATCCCCACTATGCTCTCTGTGCACGCGGAACAGCTGAACAAAACTGGCTTCCCCACGATCCATGCTGTGGTGCTGCTAGAGGGGACAATGAACCTGACTGGAGAGCCGCAGCCGCTGGTGGAGCAACTCATGATGGTCAAAAGGATGCAGGTATGGCTGGACCATAGGAAGGATGCTTTGTCTCACTGTGTCTGTGACTCCTATTGGAGTCCCATCGCATGGTAGAAATGTTCTACTTCAGACTGCAGCTGGGGGCTTGCATATTTGAATTTTCTTCCATGAATAAAGAAGAACATCCAGCACTTAGGTAGCTAGCATGTCGTAGGAAGACTGGACTAGATCCTTTCCCCCTGGCACACAGTTTTCTATATGAATAATGTGCTTGAATAGCAGTGAATTCAGTCCTGTTGTCCCTCCTATGCATTCCGAAATGGTACTGTCCAGGATCAGTTTTACCATGAGGCGAACTGTTTATCTAGTCTGGGCATCTGTTGTACCTCTCTTTTGAAATACAAATTAAAACAATGGAAAATTAAAGAGAGTTAAGATGACAGTAGGAGACCTATACTGGCTGTATAGTGCTGGCTTTGCCCTATAAGTTTGGGGATGGGAAGAGGAAAAAGGCAGATGTAGCTTTTTAAGCAAACTTTCTGTGCTTTTGGCTGGAAACCTGGGAGGGCTGGGAGCTTCTAGTCTCTGGAGAGAATGCTTCAGCATAATTTCTCCCGCTGTTATTCACTTAGCAGGCTGATGACCGAGGCCCAAGTTTTCTTGTGGTGCTTCTCTCTTTCTCTCTGAAGTGTAGGAGGGGATGGTGGCTTCATAACTGGACGTAAGGGTGCTTAGTAGTTGAAATGTGAAGGAGGAGGAAGACTCAGGAAGTTACCTGAGAGGTGGTGTATAGGGGAGCTTGCAGCAAAGGTGGGAGGAATAGACATGAGGGTAAAGGTGAAAACAGGTACGTGGTGGGGCTGCAGAATACAAAAGAGAAGTGGCTTCAGAAATGGCTTGGGAAGGTGGAAAACAAGCTTAGTAATTGTATGGGGTGGGAAGGGGAAGGAAGCTCTAGGGGTTAATGTGGGAGGAATGGCAGGGGGTTGGTGAGCAGGGGTGCAGCCCCTAGTGAAAGAACAATGTGGTTGTGTGTGTGTTGCTGCAAGGAAGAGAGCAAAACATGGAGCAGGTGTCTATGATAGGAAAGGATATTGTTATTGAAATTGGAGTCCTACCTCACTTTGTATGGGCATGAATGAATCTGTGTAGAAGTGGGTGCAAAGAACAAGGAAGAAGCTATTTGAGTTGAGAGAGTTTGGAGGATCTGAGAGGGAGGCAGTATTTTTGTGAAGAGCTGTCGGACAGGGATTGGGAAAAACCAGGACTAGACTTTGGGAGAGGGAGGCTCTGTTGTTTAGTAGCATATGTTATCCTTGCAAGGGAGGTGGGGGCCGTATGTTTTCTAATAAGAGAAGTACACAGGCGCCATGCCATCTGTCCTCTAAGCCCTTCTCATTCATTTGTGGGTGGGGGAGGAGGAAGGGGGGGCGCTGCACTCGCTTTGTAGAAAGAGGGACTGTCGGTGCTTCTAGGCACTTACTCTTGCTGGCTAGGATAAATTATTACAGGTTATCAAGCCCAGCTGCAGTTTGTGGACTCTTGGCTGAAGGATCATGATGCACAACACTCTTCAGAGTGTGGGAAGTCTGCTTTACGTGAGAAGTTGGGGTGATGGTGGAATGGGACTGCTGGATAGTCCGAGTGTGCTAGAAATCTTGCATCCAGCCTTTTTTTTTGTCAGTACTGTGCCACTCTGAATCCAAACTGTGTTCCCTGAGGAAGATCCTGAGGCCTTCTCTCCCTCTGTCTCTTCTCCCTGCTAGCGCATTCCGTCCCCGCTTTTCATTCTGGAAATCTGGAAAGCCTGCTTTGTGGGGCTGATTGAGTCTCCTGAAGGGACAGAGGAACTCAAATGGACAGCCTTCACATTCCTCAAGGTAAGGTGCCCTTAGGCCCAAATAGCTGGGGCTCAGCCTTTCGTAAAGTTCCTTTGTTTATCATCTGAGTTTCCCAGCTTACCAAGCAACAGAGACCAAAAGGGTTATGGGAAGTTGGATAAATTCATGGTCGTTTTAGGGCATCAGGTACAAGAGAGGGGGCAGTAACTCAGTGGTAGAGCGCATGCGTTGCATGCCCAAAGTCCAATCTTTGGTATCTCCATGTGAGAGCTGGGGAACATCCCTTGCCTGAAATCTTGGAGACAGTTGGTCACTCCCAGTTGGTGCAGACAGTACTGAACTAGAGGGACCCATAGTCTGACTTGATATAAAGCAGTCCCTGCATTCCTGATACATTGCCTTAGCCCATGTTTCCTCCTGAGCTGTGTGGCTGACCTAGGTGAAGTGAATGGATTTCACGTTATCCCTCACCTACCCCGCTTCTCCGTAATTAAACAGTTCTCTCCCCCTGTAACAGGCTTCTTTCTGCTTCTATTTTCTGACATTGCACAGGCTTGGTAGACTCTCCCAAATATCTGGTTGATATTCCTGTTTTTCCAACCTGGTTGCACACACACACCCAATTATCCTTGGGGTCTACCTGCAGCCCCCTGTCCCCTGCTTCATTTTTTGATAGGGGCATCTTTGGAGACGTGTATCTGGACACTGATTCCAAACTTTTAGCAGAAACTGAGAGTTTTATGTTCAAGGCTGTGGTTGTTTTCTGCAACTGCAAGGTCTAGAAATATTATTTAAGCAAAATGGGGAAGGAGAGTGTCTCAGTAACCTGACCACTCTAGTGCTCCTTTCTAGGTTCTCAACCAGGGAATCTAAACCTGTGGCCTTCAGGTGTCATTGGACTCCCAATAGCCTGAGTCAGTTTGGCCAGCGGGTCAGGAATTGGGAACTGTAATTGAACGACATCTGGAAAGCTACAGATTCTCAATCTCTGCTTAAAACCTTTATTGAACTCTGGCTGGGACCCAGCCTAATGAGTACTTGGGGCTGTGTATGCTTGGGCCCGGAGTTCTCTTCAGGTATAGAAGGCATGGATAGGTGTGTCCAACCTCGACCTCTGCAATTGGCAGGCAGCACGAGACCTCTGGATTGGCCAGTCTTGTGAGCACTTTGGAGCCCAGCCTTTTGCTTTTGACTGGTCAACAGAACAGTAACTTCTGCCAACTCTACTCCAGTCCTCACCTCTGACTTCAGGAACCCTGGGTTGGTAAAACACGCTGCTGATCAGGATCAAGTATGGCTGCCCCTGTATCAGTCCTGGCACAACGCAGCTGCAACGTTAGGGATTAGGAAGGAAAAGGAAGAAATACCAAAGTCCCCTAGGGTCTTGTTCAAATACTTTTACTCTCACACTGTAACCTCTGCCATGATAATTCTTGCCCTTTGTAATCATAGTTTCCCCCATCTGCATCAATCCAGGTTCTCAGATCTACTGGCAGCCGGGGTCTTGGATGCCATTCACTATTATAGTGAGTGGAAACACCAATCTCTTCTTATGCTCTTTCTGGGCTGTCATCTTTGGTAGAGCCTGGAGGAGTATCTGTATTTAGCTATATACTTCTTTTATTTTTTTGTTTTTTTTTTGCAATGTAAACATAAGCCAGATGGCTCTGTCTTCCTTCTCCCTGGCTTTCTTGGTAAACACACTCGTGACGCTGCTAGATTCCCCCAAAGAGATCCAGCAAATTGCAACTTAGCATTCCCTGCCTGCTCAGTAAATCTCCATTGCAACTCAAGTACATCATGTAACTTATCAGCCATGCAAAGAGGAATAAATTAAGAAGCATGAAAGAGACAAACACACACACACACACACTCCTGAACAAACTGGAAAGCAAAAGAAATAGCAAACAGTTAATCTCTGGAGCTTGTTGCCATATGATAGCAGGAAGATCAGATTAGACATGCCTAATTTTACATTTAGGAGTTTGTTGGTTTTTTTTAATATTTATTTCCAGTTTCATGTGCAAAATGCTTTCTTATCTTCAAAAGCAAGGGAGAAATCGGTTTCATAGCCGAGTTGAGATTTGAAACCTTCCGATTCAATATTTAGCGCCCTCGACCACATTAGCATCCACCCCAGATTTGTCGCTGGAAGTAATTAAGCCAGTTTGCGACTTTGACTTGGTTGATAAGGAGACCGGAAGCGGCAACCAGACTGACTTCGAACCTTTTCTGAGCATTAGTTAGGCTAGTTTCATGTCATGGAATGTTCGTAGATGGAACATGAAATGTTCTAACATCGGAGTGTGAAGATAATAGTAATAGGAAGTTGAAAAACAGCTTGGCATTTATGAGGAAAGCGAAGGCCAGTTTGCACAGGGTCTGTGTGCAGTTAGGGTTCACGGGAGAATAGAGGTGGGAAAGTGTTTTGGGAAAGAGGACTACAAGCAGCTGTAGAAAACTTTGGACGCTCGTGATATGGCTGAACCATCCTTGGCCATTCTTGCTGGGGGTGATGGGAGTTGTAGTTCAGCAACATCTGGAGGGCCAGAGGATTGTTAAAGGGCAATGGGACTGAGTGGAAGTCAGGAACAACTGTCTTGCAGGGTCTAGGGCAGGGGTCTGCAACCTTTAAGACAAAAAGAGCCACTTGGACCCGTTTCCGAAGGGGAAAAAAACTGGGAGCCGCAAAACCATTGCGACATTTAAAACAAATATATCTCCGGAGCCGCGATCTGACAGTGGGAAGGTGACGTCGGGACGGTGCGTGACTAATGCACGCACCGCCCCCATGCGACGTCACAGCCAGTACAGCGCCCGCCACAGTGGGGAGTGTCGGGGCGCACAATGCACCTCCTCCCCTCACTAGTATCCGCCCCGGAGCCGCGGCAAAGGTGTAAAAGAGCCACATGCAGCTCCGGAGCCGCAGGTTGCAGACCCCTGGTCTAGGGAGAGGAGGAGGAGGGGCTGTGAAAAGGGGGAAGGGAGTGAAAAGGCAAAGGAGTTTTTGGCAGTCCAGGACGTGTGAACCAGGGAGCGAAATTCACAAGGAGATGGGGCGGGGGCGATAGTTTTGAGGTCCCTTATTAAATTCTTACTTTGCTCTTTTTCAGATTCCACAAGTACTTGTAAAACTGAAAAAATATCCTCAAGGAGAAAAGGTAAAGGTTGATTTTTGAAAAGCAAATCATCATCATCACCACAACAGCTACGTCAGTGTTCTATTTACAGTGGTACCTCGGGCTACAAATGCTTTGGGTTACAAACTCCACTAACCTGGAAGTAGTTGCTCCGGGTTGCAAACTTTGCCCCCAGATGAGAACAGAAATCGTGCAGTGGTGACATGGCAGCAGCAGGAGGCCCCATTAGCAAAAGCGCACCTCAGGTTAAGAACGGTTTTGGGTTAAGAACAGACCCCCAAAACGAATTAAGTTTGTAACCCGAGGTACCACTGTATTTGTTTAGAACTGCTAAAAATTATTTGGGAAGAAAAATGGAAAATGGAAGCATGCTTTTAGTTTTGCAATTAAGAGGGCTTAGGTTAAAGATGGGATTTTCAGTGAGAACAAGGCCCATCAGTGACTCCAGCCATGATGGGTAAGGATGAAGAGCCAGAATTTCTATGATCATCATGCTTTAGGTCAAAGAAGAAAGGCATTTCCATCATACCCTCTTTGTAAACTTCACAGAGGCATTTGACTGCTGTCTGCTGCCTTAGACAGAATGCTGGGCTAAATGGAGCTTTTGGTTAAAAAGTAGTTCTTCTGCCACTGAGTGAGTTTATGGCTAAAGTGGGATTCGGACCGGTCTTCCCAGTCATAGAGGTCATCTAATGCGGTCTTTAAGAGAGGCAGATGAAAACAAATTAGCCTCAAAGCTTAACTTTTGAGACTGCCTCATTTAAAAAATACAAATTAAAAAAATCACCTGCTATTCATATTTCACCTTTCAAATCTCAGCATAAGTTTTCTTTTTCTTTCTAAATTCCATGCCACATAAAATCTGGGGGAGACAAAAAATCAGTTCCACACACATTTATCATATTCTCCCTTACTCTATAAAACCCCCAACTGCAATGTGCCACTTGCTAAGAGCAGTTCAAATGAAGTAATTCTTCACCAGTGTGTCTGCAGGGCTTCAGTTTACTTAATCAAGTGGTTCAAGCTTCTATACCACAAAAGGGGGGCGTGGAGAGAAACAAAACAACCAACCCTTTAAGTTTGCTGGAATTTTTTTTCTAGCTTGTTCAATGGCAAATTCTGTAGCATGAAACTTGCTGAAAAGAAATGACCAGGAGCTAATGTTCTCAGTGGGCTTATTGGGATGCACTGCCTTGGCCTGTTTTTATAGGGGATTATGGGTGGGGATTCCAGTACAGCATTGGCAGACCCTTTAGATGTAAGGAAGAAAATAATAATAGTGCAATTGCAGGACTTCACCGAAGATGTGAATTGTGCCTTTGAGTTCCTTCTGAAGCTGACGCCCCTTCTGGACAAGGCTGACCAACGCTGCAAGTAAGTTCCCCTTCTTCGTGGCCCTTCAAGTAGAGGGGACAGAGCCCAAGGGATTTTCCTGCTTGGCCTGGGAGTTCTTCTCTCAGTTTCACTCCCATGTTTATCATGGTCTCTACTCCCATGAGATGCCACTCTCTTAGCTGCCAGCCACCATCCTTTGTCCTCCAAAGCTCCACTCCTTGAATCTCAGGGTCTAACTCTTAGGGAGCTTGGCAACCCTAGTGTTACTGTCAGGATGAAGGCTGCTTTTTAAATTTAATGTTGTTGTTGTTTGATATATTTAATTGAACACAAAAAAATACAGCAAGTGACTAGAGACAGGACATAAACACATCATTATCCCCCCCCCCCATTGAGCCAGGTTGAATAATGAGCATTGAAGACTAGGTTGGAGGGATATTTTGGCCAAAACCAGTTTGCTATTTGGAGTAGGGGCACACAAGGTGGGAGAACAGTCAAGGTTGAGATGAGAACAACCTCATAGACACGGCAGAGTTGAGCAGGGTTAGATAGTGGGAGAAATTGCTGAGGTGGTTGTCATCCAGAGGAAGTGAAATGGACCAACTCGTGAGGGAGGTGTGTTTGTTACTCAAGCCGGAACCTGGTAGAAGCTCTCTAAAGTGGTCACCAGTCACAGAAACTGGTTTGGTTAGTAGAAGGGGCCTGTGGGAGGACTGGGCCTCTTCTTCACTGCTCAAACCTACTCCCTGTTTTCTTAACACAGTAACATTCCAGATGTTGATTGGTTGACTGCGTTTACTTACATGCCGCTGTGTCCAAAGCGGCTTACACCAAGCATTCAAAGCATTGAAAGAGAGTGTTGGAAACACAGATATACAAAATACAGAACAATAGCACTGACAACAGAAAACTAGAAGCTAGCACAGTTTAATCTGAAATGGGAATTTTTCAAGGAAAATTCCCTGTTTTCCCCCTGCTGGGTGTGATATAACAGGAGATTAGAACTGGGGGAAGGGCCAGGGAAAGCAGACAGCCTTGTAAACAGAATTCGCCATGCATAAGTTTGCTGCTGATGTCGCAATTAGAACTGTTTGTTCTGCATGATAGATTAAGACCCAAACTCCCCAATGTGTGAAGCAGTCAGTGTCGCTCTTGCATAAAGTAGTATTTTGAATCAGTTTGGTCCAATTTTCTTGTGCCCAGCTCTTGAACGCTTTGTTCTGTTATGGAAACATAAGCACAAACTTGAGGTGGTTCTTTCTTAACGCTTAATCCTTCAACCAGGGCTGGATGTGCTCTGTGCATGATACATGATAAATTGCCTGCCTATGAGCCGTAGGGTACAATGAGCAACTCCTGGATTCTGTTCATTCTGCACTCCTGTGGTCTCAACTTGCAAGTGCAGAATTGCATAATTCAGCACCTTGAGAATCCAGATGTTTGTTTTAGGTTTCTGGTGGGTTTTGGGGGGTTTTTTTGAGGTGGCATGCCTTTAAAGTAGCCTTGAAAATGGGTGGATAGAGGCTCAGAAACGTTCAGTAATTAGCAACCTCTCTCTCATGGCTGGCAGGAAAACTCAATAGGTTATGCAAAGGAAGTGAGTGTACACATGCAAATGTGCTTTGTTTACAGAATTGAGCCAACCAGTTTGGTTGGTCTTGTAGGTAGCTGTGTGGTAATGGGAAGAGCATTGAGCTTGGATGGAGGAGACCAGGGTTCATTTGCCTGCTCCTCAACTAGGAAGCTTGCTGGGCAGCACTGAGCAAGCTTCTGTCTCTACCTGGAAGGCATTTGTCTGGCTAAAGTGACATATTCCCCATGAAAGCAAAACTTAGGAGTAGCACAGATAAAAATGCAAAACATACTGCAGCAGGCCACTTAGGCCTCTAGAGACAAAGCTGTATCTGTGGCCATTCTCAAAATGCTAACCAATCCTTGAGTGGGGAGCACAACCCCCTTCAGGACAGGTTGAGCAATTTCCTTACTGGGCCCAAAGCGAAATTTAGAGCATGCAGGTGTCAGTCACTGAAACCACACATATCCTTTTTGACCTTTTGAGTCTTTCAGCAGTGGTTGCTTCCACTCAAGGTTTGTCCTTTCCTTAATGCTGTGAAGACTAGAAAGTTGAATCCTGTTATCCTCCTTTGTATTCCTCCTTTCCCCAATTGTTACTATATTTGCAACGTCAAAAATGAAGCTCAATAAAAACTCTACCAATTTTATGACAGCTGAAACGCAAGGACTTTATACCCGATTAGAGAGAGGCATTTTATCAGGGGATTCTTTCTGTGCCTCCCAGTTATATTATTTCACCTTTACTTGTATTCCCACCATCTCTTCCTTAACTCACCTTGTGCCATCTAGTGTCCTTCCCCAAAAGGTCCAGCGAGAGAACAGTCTGTCTCCATTATGGACCATGTTTGTTCATACATTTTAACACATGTTTTTCCACTTTTGGTGGTTGTTCTTCCAGCTGTGACTGCACGAGCCTTCTCTTTCAAGAATGTGGCAAGCAGGGTCTGCTCTCCGAAGCCAACATGAACAACCTCATCGCCAAACGGTAGGCTTATCTAGCTTTGCACAAAAGGGGCGATAGGCTAGGTGCAGGGGCAAAGGCGCAAATAGTGGTTGCTTCAACATTTCTTGAGTTTCTGCCCCTTAACTTGTGGGGAAGAGGAAAGGAAGTTCTTGGCTGCCTTGAAGACGTTCCCCCAGCAGCCGTGCATTATTCTCAGCTTCTCTAAAACCATGGGCGAATGCATGCGATCAACTTATCAAGTGGTAAATGCAAGGAAGCTTGCCCATTTCTTAAATGTAAGCTTAAAAGTGCAAGTGTGCACAAATGACTGTGGCAGGCTTTGTTTTAATCTGTGGCTGCTGTGGCTTCAGCTTCATTTACTGACTTGCTCTGCTGCAGTGGAGGGAAGACCCTCTGTGCCTTGCGGCAGCGTTTTGTCACTAGTTCTTTCTTTAGGGAAGTGGATGGTTAATATATTCCCACAATCTTAAGGTTTATTCATACTGATAATAGCGTTGTTGTTTCACAGAGGCCAGTGAAACTTCTCGCCCTGTCTTTCAAATTTTCTTTCTCTTAAGGGGAAAAAAAATGTGGCTTTTTTTTTTAAAAAAAAAAAGATTGCATTTGGTTTTAAGCTGGCAAAGTCATTAAATGCATTGCTTTTTAAGCCTGGAAAGCATCTGCTGTGCTTAATTTCACACCTTTTAAACTGGTTGGGGGGGAATTGTATTCTCTCTCCCTCCCCACCCACCTCTCATCACAGCACAAACTGACGCCTTAGCAAATAAACCCTCAGACACACTGTAGTAAGCTGTCCAGTGCTGATTTAGTCTTGTTTTATTAATATGGATTGGGCAAGGATGTACGTAGACTTTTCCTTCCATTTTCTTTCAGTTTCTGCTCAGGGTATCCAGCCACAAACAGCTTGTGAGTAGGAGTTCTGTTTGCATATTAAAAGGTTGCTCCTCGACAAAATACACTAAACTTAAGTTAATAATTTTTTTTAATTAAAAAAACAAAACCTGTCAGAGGCTGTAGATATTTCAGCATGTTTAAATGATAAACAGCACTTGGAATTGATATCTGAACTCTTAAAAAAAAAAACTATGGTAAAAAAGCAGGGGAGACAAAAATCTTGCTTTGAAAGACAGCAGTAGCTGTGAAATGCTGTAACTCAGGAGCTGTCTTCCTTACTCCAGGTCATATTTGCCTGCCACAGATTACTAATACAGATGACCAGTTTATTAAGTTGGGACTGCAGGCCTTCTTCATCTGTTCCTCCAAAAGCCCTGCAACTTTTTGCTCCCCTCTCCTTGAAATCCTTCTATTCTAGCTTGTCATTGCAAGAATTCTGTAGCTAAGAAATAATAGTTCCCGAGTTTGCTTTCCCACCCAACCCCTCCACCACCCTCTCAGTTGCATTTCCTTTTCTGCCATGTCCTTTTTAGATTGTAAGCCTGGAGACAGGGACTGTCCTGTCGCTGACATAGCGAGATGAGCGCCGCAACCCCAGAGTCGGTCATGACTGGACCTAATGGTCAGGGGTCCCTTTACCTTTACTTTTTTAGAACAAAAATGTTTCAAATAAAGAAGCTGTAAATGTGGGGGAGCCTAGCCACATGATAAGGTCTTCAAACTTTAGCACACATGAGAATGAGCCGCAAGCGGATGGGGGAATCCCACCACATTTTCCTAAATACAGACTGGGGATGGGATACCTATGGTTCTCCAGATGTTGGACAACCATTTACATCACCCCCTGACCATTGGCCACACTGGCTGAATCTGATAGGAGTTGGAGTCCAAAAGCTTCCAAAGGGTTAAAGGGTGTAGACCATGCAAAACCATGATAGAAAACTTTACCACTCAGTCAGTTTGTCATCTGCATTGAGCCCACGGGGACTAGGAAGTTTTGTTTCTGAGAACCCACAGGTTAAATATGCTAACCTGAGTCAAACTCTCAGAAATTAAAAGTTCATTGCCCTGAATTTCCATCAGAAGCTTATAGATATGTGAATTTTGTACTGGTGGGGTGGCCCTTATAGCAGAGCATTCCACTTTCATTAAAGAGCTCTTTACCCTCTTATTTCAACTTTGGGTATTTTTCTTCTGACCTCACCCAGGACCGCTGATCGGGAACATGCGCCACGTTTAAAGTCTCCCGAGAATGCTAACATTCAACCCAACCCAGGCCTCATCCTGCGAGCGGAGCCCACCGTCACCAACATCCTGAAAGTAGGCACTAAACTTGTGATGGCATCTTGAACACAGAAACTGGATTACCTTTATTATTTTTAGTACTACTGCTGTAGTAGTCTTTGGTGCTACTGAAGTCTAGACCAGGGGTAGGCAAACTAAGGCCCATGGGCCGGATGTGGCCCAATCGCCTTCTCAATCCAGCCTGTGGACGGTCCAGGAATCAGCGTGTTTTTACTTGAGTAGAATGTTCCCTTTTATTTAAAATGCATCTCTGGGTTATTTGTGGGGCCTGCCTGGTATTTTTACATGAGTAGAATGTGTGCTTTTATTTAAAATGCATCTCTGGGTTATTTGCGGGCCATTGGAATTTGTTCATTTCCCCCCCGAAATATAGTCCGGCCCACCACATGGCCTGAGGGACGGTGGACCGGCCCACGGCTGAAAAAGGTTGCTGACCCCTGACCTAGACACACTCCCACTGAACTCGGTGGGCCTTAACCTCTGTGTGGACATGCACAGTAGTTATGTTTTGAAATGATTATGTTTGGCTATCTTCCCTTGAAGTTGCTCAGAGCAATGTTTCATCTCAGAGCTGTTATGAGATTAAGGCTACAAACTGAACAACCCCACTTACCTGGAAGTGAAGCCCACTGAGTTGCATCCAAGTAGACATGGTTTGAATAGCACTGTAAATTAGGTTGAAAGAAAGTGTCTTGTCTCTGGCTGATAGCAGAGCTTCACAACTGGGGATTTGAACCTACGCCTTGCATATCAAAGTGTATCAAATGACTTCAAGGCATTTTGGGGGAAGGGACAGGGCACAAAATATCCTGGGACAGTGGTCAGCTATTTGGCACAAAAAGCCACTTGAGTATCATTTGTCTGTGCTTGTATTAGAGAGAACACAGCAAAACACACACTATTCTATTGTTATGTCACACCCATTGGGCTGCCACACATAAATCTGTGGTGGCTTTGCCCTCTGGGACAAAGTGACACAGGAATTGGGGTGGCACACCAACATTTACCAAGTTAGCAAACAGCGTGACCCTAGACATAAGGTATCTGAAAGTATGGTTTATTGGAGAAACAGCTACCGGTTTTGCTACTCTGAAATGTGCCAGGCACATTTTTACAAGGCCTGACAAACCTTTATTGAATGTGTAACCAAAGAAACAATGGGTAGACCCTCATCTGAAGTATACAAATGCCTCTGGAAAGACATCCAAGAACTAGTCTTGGAAATGCAATCCAGATATATCTGTTAATTCTCTGAAGACTTCTCTATGTATCTTGTTACCTTCTTGTATGTCTTGATACTGCTTGTAAAGACAATCAAGACAATCTATGGTAAGTTACGCATTCTGTGTTTCCCCCCTCTTAGTTGGTGCTTTGTTAATGTGTGTTGATTGCGACTTAGTCATATTTTTTCTTTTTAAAAGAATGGAACCGGAGACATTTCTGTGTTAATTCTCTTTCTAACATTGGACAAAGCCTTCACATTCCTTTTAGCAATCGATAAATTTTCACCGTTCTTTAGTTCAGGGATTCCCAAGCTGTGATCTGCGGACCACCAGTGGTCTGCTGACTTCATTCAGCTGGACTACAGCATGGCCACATTCATCTTGAATTTTAATTGTATTTTTATTTCTTTTTTATTTCTCATATTGCTTTTTTTTTGTTTTACAATTTGAATTCTGTGAAACGGTGATGAATACCCACGGGCATGTAGTTAAGTTGCTAAGAACTGATTTCTCTTTACACAATTCTCTGTAGTTTGTTCCTTGCCGGCTACCGATCGGGAACCTTCGTCGACTCAATTATTTTCTTTCTTTATTTCTCTGCTACTCCAGACAATGGATTCAGATCACTCGAAAACCCCAGAAGGGCTGCTGGGCGTCTTGGGACATATGCTCTCTGGGAAGAGCTTGGATCTGTTGTTGGCAGCTGCAGCAGCTACAGGGAAGCTGAAAGTCTTTGCCCGGAAATTTATCAAGTGAGTGGGTCTGGATATGATTGGCCACTGCCTCCTTTCAAGTTGGGGAGCTGGAGTCTGTCACTACCGTCACAGAGCGTGCAAGTGCTAAAACACCCACCCACAGCTCGGTTGAGCTTCTGCTGTTCGTTAGAGCTGGAGCACACACAACTGGCCAATTAAAAAAAAAGTCTTTATTAATAGGAAAATAAAAATAGTAAAATAAAGTAAAATAGTAAAAATAAGCAATGGGGTATTAGCTCCGCCAAAGGCATGATGGGGAGCAGCAATGGCTGGGAAAAGATAGACATACATTTTACAAGGACAGGAAGGAACGCCACCATCAGAATAATTGTCACACACAGGAGGAATAAGGATATAGTTTGAATGCTTCACCCATAGATTTATAAATCATTTAATGTGTTAAGATGAGTGGATGTCGTTAATATTACAGTTGTTGTATAACGGATTGTTATTTTGGATGGAATGTAATTGAGATGAATAAGATTTGGAATGCAGAAAAGTAAATAATCAAACCATTAGTTCTAGCACATGCAGGAGGCCACCCAAATTTTATAATTTGACATTTGAATGATTGGGATTAGTAATTGTACTTTGATTTGGTATTGTTATAATGAGGCTACCATTGAGTTATTGTAATTGAAAACTAATAAAAATTATTGGGGGGGGGGGGTAAAAATAAAGTGAAGTAAAATAGTAAAAAGAAAAGTAGCAAAAATAAAATAGAACAGAACAGATAAACAATATGCTCCAAGGCTATAGTCTCACCCAGCCTTGCACTTCCAATCCTGAACTTGGGAGAATGAAATATTGTGCTGTTGTCATTCAAAAGGAGTTTGCAAGGCTGGTGTGCAATGGCTAAAATGCAGTTGAGCATCCATTGGTTGAGTGTGTTGGAAGCTGTACCCTACCTGGCTTCTGTCTACATAGGATTCAGGCTGCTTTTAGATCCTCATCAGCACTTCCAGGCACAGTTCAGTGGGGGAACCATTGCACAAGGTGTCGGAGTAAAGCGCCCCCAGCTGTTAACAACTTAAATATCCCTATCACATACAAATCGCTCTTGATCTGGAGTGCCTTCTTCCCCTTCCTCCCCCTGCAGAAACAATGAGGCGGATTCTTAGAATTCCCATTTCACATAGATGGGAAACTGAGGTGGTGGCCGAAACCTCGGTGGCATGGTAGGCTGACCTATCCCACAGCAAGAGCAGCGTGAACAGTGTCAGATCAGCAGTTCCCATTAATGTTTCTCTCCCCAGACATCTTGTGAAACACCAATCATGACATGACATCACTGCATGTTGTGTTCCTCTGCCCTGGGAGTTGGGAAACTGGAAATACAGGTTGACATAGTGACTTAGGTGTTGTTGGGGCGGCCCAATACAGATCTGCTGCTTTCAATGGCAGCCAGGTGGCTTCCCTAACGTTTAGCACTGGCCTTGGATCTAAGCCTTCAAGCCCGTAAGCCAATCTATCCTAACAGAACACAGGCGCTATATGTATTTTAGCTGTAAGCCTGTTTTGCTTTTCTGCATTCCTGCCGATGACAAGAGATCAACCCCCTGTCTCCATTCCTCTTCTTTTATTCCACCGCCCATCCCCAATTCCATGTAAGGCTGCTGCATTTTTTTCTGAACCCATTTGTGTCTTAGCTGAAGGGGCTATTAGGTAGCCGCTCACGAGGCTGTTAAACCTCCCACAAGTGGCTATTTTACAAGCACACTCAGGCCTTTCTGTACTTGAGCAAATCAAGCAAGATTGTGGGGGTGGGGGGGTCTTCTCCCACCCGTTATTAGAAGCAAACAATTCTCCTGCAGGGTAAAGACAGATTTGTTTTTGATGTTGCTGCCAGGAGGGGGGAACCGGGAGTGGGAGGTGGGGCTGGACTTATCTTTCGAGCCATGTGATGGTATATTTCTGTCACAAGACTCCTGTCTGAATAAATCTACTCCACTCCTCCACGTATAAGCTGCAGGCGTGCAAGCTCTAGCGCTGTGGCCATGTGTAGTCTACACAAGTGTGGAATATGATACCGAGTATGTAATTTGGCATCCTATGTGAGGCTGTGGGACGCGGGTGGCGCTGTGGGTAAAAGCTTCAGCGCCTAGGGCTTGCCGATCGAAAGGTCGGCGGTTTGAATCCCCGCGGCGGGGTGCGCTCCCGCTGCTCGGTCCCAGCGCCTGCCAACCTAGCAGTTCGAAAGCACCCCCGGGTGCAAGTAGATAAATAGGGACCGCTTACCAGCGGGAAGGTAAACGGCGTTCCGTGTGCTGCGCTGGCTCGCCAGATGCAGCTTTGTCACGCTGGCCACGTGACCCGGAAGTGTCTCCGGACAGCGCTGGCCCCCGGCCTCTTGAGTGAGATGGGCGCACAACCCTAGAGTCTGTCAAGACTGGCCCGTACGGGCAGGGGTACCTTTACCTTTTTACCTTTTATGTGAGGTTGAAAGCGAAAGGCTGTGCCATACCAAAAAGCAGGGCTTTCTTTCAGCCAGAACTCACTGGAACTGAGTGTGTCTGAGTTGGTGGGTTCTGTCACCTATGTGGCGTGTTCCGGCAGCTCTAGCACTGCAGTACGGTGGTGTGTGGCAGAGGCTGTGGGTGGCACATCTGTGCAGCAGAGGGTGGTGGCATAAGGCTCCGGTGGTGGGGCAAAGAAGAGAAGCTTTCTTAGGCGATCCCACCCCTAACAAAAGCTCAACAACTTGGGTGCTCCTCCTCTTCTATCTAGAAAAAAAGCCCTGCCAGAATGTCAAAATGTTTGCATTATGGGAACTTGGCTTGCTAGATGAGCCACATCTGGGTGGGAAAGGCCTGAATCTTTTCCAAAAGAGTAAAGGCAGGCTAAGGCTGCATCCACACTGTATATTTTCAGAGCATATCTAAATCAAGCCCCCCCCCCCAAATATGGGCACTGTAGCTTACCCACAGCAGAGCTACAATTCCCAGCACCCTTTACAAACTTTAGTTCCCAGGATTCTTTGTGAGAAGAAATGTGAATTAAATGTATAGTGTGTGCACAGCCAAAGAGGAGAAGAATGGAGGCGGGGAATGGCTAAGAAGGTTTCACCTTGATTTGATTGGTACAAAGAAGAAAGGATGGGGCAGCGCCCAAATTCAAGTCCCACTTGAGATGTGCATTTAGTCTTGCCAAGTTGCTGCCTTGGTTCTTTTCATCATCTGTAGAATGGGAATGATTGCGACCTGCTTTTTAAGTTCGCGTTGTGTTTCGCACAGCAAGGTGATCAACATTTTAGAAAGCAAAAAAATAAATATGTGGGGGCAGTTACGATACTTGGTTTGGTCCCTTACAAAATAAATGCAGCCTTAGCTCATTTTCCCCCCTTTTCTGTTCCTTCACCTTTCATTTTAGGCTTAATGAACTTACCAAGCACATCAGCGGAGAAGGCTGTAAGTCCCTGTTGTCTTGCTTTATATCTTTTCTTTTCAGTCTGATGTTACTGCAGCTCCTTCCTGAGGCTCTAGATTTTTTTGCGTGTTAACTGAAAAGTCTGGAGGGGGTGGGGAAGAGTTGAAAGTGAGCCATGGTGCCTGGCAGCGTAGGCAGTGCCAGCGCAGCATTCCTGATGCAACAAGGGGGGCATTCAAGTTATGACTGGGGTCTCTTTGTCTTTTGGGCTACCACGTGCATCCTCCCGTTTCCCCACCACCCCTGAGAATAGTCACTTTGTGCTGCTTGGTGGGGGACCTCGGCCCTGGGAGGGGAAGGGTTAACTTGCAGCTGTGGGCTTGCCCTCCCTCTCCTCTCTCCTCCCTTTCCTCCCCACAGTCCTCTGAGCGCCCATACAGCTCAAGTCCTTTGGATGGAGTGATGTGTGTGAATCCCACTTAACCCAAGATAAGGATTCTGAAGGCGTTTTTGCATGTGATTAAATGCACAAAAGACCCTCTGACCTTCCACTGGACTGATGGGAAAGGGAGCTCTCTTTAGCCATTGGCAGTTTTTGTTGCCTCCTTGTTCATTTTTCAAGATGTTTGGAGTGCTTTGAAACTGTTAAGCTTGGTCACACCCTCAAAAGGGTTTGATAAAAAGTGAGGAGCTGGAAAGAGGGGCCTGAGTCCGATTTTCATTAGGGATGTCCATTGCTCTGTTCCTGCTGCTTTCTATGATTACTAGAAGGCCAGTAAATAGATAGGGACGCAGGTGGCGCTGTGGTCTAAACCACTGAGCCTCTTGGGCTTGCCGATCAGAAGGTTGGCGGTTCGAATCCCTGTGGCAGGGTGAGTTCTTGTTGCTCTGTCCCAGCTCCGGCGAACCTAGCAGTTCGAAAGCACACCTGTGCAAGTAGATAAATAGGTACCGCTTCGGTGGGAAGGTAAACGGCGTTTCCATGTGCTCTGGTTTCCATCACGGTGTTCCATTGCGCCAGAAGCATTTTAGTCATGCCGGCCACATGACCCGTAAAGCTGTCTGTGGACAAACGCTGGCTCCCTCGGCCTGAAAGCGAGATGAACACCACAACCCCATAGTTGAATTTGACTGGACTTAACCCTCCAGGGGGTCCTTTTTAAATAAATAGGGGTTTTTTGGGGGGGGGTCATTTATATATGCATATTTGGAGGAAAGGCAGAGAAGAAAGATGCATGTACCAAAAGCCCAGTCAACAACACTGTTTTCAAAAGATGTCTAAAAGAAAGCAGGGTCGAGCCCTGCCAGACTTTTCTTGGCAAGGAGTTCCACAGGGCAGGGCCAGCCCCAGGCTAAAGGCGCAGAAGGCATATGGGATGAGGGACTGCCAGAAGCGCCCCATCAGAGGCTGTCAGTGATCAGTGTGGGACGTAAGGACTCAGGAATGGAAAGACACCAAAAAACACAGAGCGAGAGAACTCCTCTTGTGTCAGTACAACGAACGAGAATGTAGTTGCAGAGCACTTCTTATGCACCAGATGTCGTTAATGGTCATAATAAATTACTGATATATCTCTTGTTGTTGTTGTTGTTGTTGTTGTTGTTGTGTGAACTTATCGTTGTGGGTTTCCTCCCACTTCTCTAGCCAAAGCGGCATCAGTCAGAGCGCTTCTCTTCGACATTTCCTTCCTCATGCTGTGCCATGTCGCCCAGACCTACGGCTCTGAGGTAGGGTCTTCTCTACGCTGTACAATACGGGGGCAAGGGAGAGGTAATGGTGGAGGAGAGGTTCTCTGCATAGGCACAGAGATGTAAGTAAAAGGGGGTTCTTCTCTGAACACGTGCAGTGTACCTTCCGAGCTTTCCACTCTCTTCTCCCCTCCCCCCTGTGAGGAATATTTTTAATTTGCTTTGAGTTTTGTCGTAAGCCACCCTGAGAACTTGACAACAGGGTGCCATGAAAATGCCATAAGTAAGCAAATGGGGTGGCCAAAATCCTGATAGTGAGAGCTTATTCCAGGCAGGGGAAACCAGGTCCCATGTTCATGCCCTGCATGTGTTGTCCCTAACCTTTCACTCACTAGGTGGCGCTCTTGCTGTGGTCGAGGGCTTCATGATGTCTCTACCCTGCCCAACTCCTTTGGCCGTCTCTCTTTCAGGTGATCCTTTCTGAAGCTGGTCCACCTGGGGAAGTGCCTTTCTTTGAGACCTGGATGCAGACCTGCATGCCAGAGGAAGGGAAGATCCTCAACCCTGATCACCCTTGCTTCCGGCCCGATTCCACCAAGGTGGAGTCTCTAGTTGCTTTGCTCAACAATTCGTCAGAAATGAAGTTGGTGTAAGTAGCTGTGCTAGAATAGCTTTGCCTAGGAATTGGTGCGCTAAAAATAGCGCGCTGAAGGTTCCCACCTCTCCTGAGTGTCAGTCGCTTTCTTCATGCTGCAGGGCTGTTCATTGTTTTCTCTGTCCATGCCATAGAGCGGATTCCTAAACCTCTAGGCTTTTGATTTCTTAAAGCAGGTTTCTAGTCCTCATGGTTGAACACAGGGCAGGCAGTCTCAACAGAGCTCTCTGATAGTTAAGATGTGGATTTTCTGTGCATCCTTTGCTGCTCCTGCCTCCTTCCTTATCCTGTGTACATGGTTTCACCAACATTTAAGTTTGGTGCCAACAAACCTGCAGATGGTGCATAATTCTGCTTCTGCTTACTGGGGGAGGGAGAGACTGGCGCTCAGCCCTCTGCCACTTAGAAATCTTTGCTCAGCCCTCGCTTTTGAGCTTTTAGCAGGTATTGCTAATACACTTTCAAGAGAAGAGGAGGCGGGTTTGGAATGGGGGGAGGGAATGGCTAATGATCTCCTATATTACTGACAAGTTTTCCCCTTGATTCTTTCCCCTCCCTGTATATCTTTGCATCTGAGCAGGCAGATGAAATGGCAAGAAGCATGTCTGAGCATCTCTGCTGCTATCTTGGAGATCCTGAACGCTTGGGAGAACGGGGTTCTCACCTTTGAGTCCGTCCAGGTAATGACAAAGAGCAGGCATTTCTAGTGAGCCTTGTATACAAAGGAGATGTGTTGCTGTTCACCTTTTAAAAGCCCACCACCATTCAGAAGCAAAAATCCGAATCGGGAATGGTGCAAAAACATTCTGGGCTGTACCATGCAACAGGGAGGCTGCGTGTTTCTCCCTTTATAGAAAGAGAAAACTGTAGCAACAAACGCACTACACAATCCTGATGATTTGGTGCTTTAGGCTTGTTTTTCTCTTGCATCGGTACATATGGGATGCATAGAATTGAGAGTTGGACGTGATCTTACAACTACTGCTGCAGTTGCAGTATGTTTGGTATCCAAACCATCCCTCAATGAATGAAAAGTAAAAAATCTAGAGTCTCAACAGCTGCCTTCTTGCCTTACTTTCCCTCCTCCTCCTTCTCCTTCTCCTCCTCCTCCTCCTCCCTTCCCCAGAAAATCACAGACAACATCAAGGGGAAGGTGTGCAGCATGGCCGTGTGCGCTGTGGCCTGGCTCGTAGCTCACGTCCGTATGCTGGGCTTGGACGAGAGAGAGAAGTCATTGCAGATGATCCGGCAGTTGGCAACTCCCCTGTATGCTGAAAACACCCTGCAGTTCTACAGTGAGAGGCAAGTAAGAGTCTGGGTAGCAGAAAACAGGGTGTTAAGCTAAGGGTTTAAAATGTGGGGTAAAGGCTGCATCTGCAGGGCAGGTTAACCTGCTTGTATTCTGCTTTGTGTCCCCGGTGCGTGTTCTGCTTTTTTGTATGATTTCCATGCTGATATCACGTGTCTCATAAAAAACACTGACTTAGGCATCCTGAAAGATCAGAAATAACTGGGAGGCGGCCCAGGCTTTTTGCTGCATTAAAAAAAAAAGTTCAAATACTCTTTGGTTAAAGCATAGTGCTGATAGTGCCAAGGTTGCAGGTTTGATCCCCTTATGGAACAGCTGCATATTCCTGCATTGCAGGGGGCTGGGCTAGATGATCCTCAGGGTCCCTTCCAACTCTACCATTCTGTGATTCTGTGGCTCCACAGGCAGTACAGGTAGTGAGCAGTTGATCAGCCACGTTGGGCTACTCTGGCTACCAGGCCGCACTGCCGCTGTTCTTAAGGTGGCCATCCTGGGACAAAAAGAGCATCAGAGGGAACCTGCAGTGTGAAGCTGCTGAATTGCCACTCATTCATCTGGGTCTGAAAGGAGACAATGGTTTCCTGTCCCAGTGCGAGTGTTAAATTTACACAAGCAGCGCTAAGATAATTCTGTTATTCCCCGATCACTGCTGCTGTGAAGGGTCATTTTGCAAATATTAAGCTCTGGTCAAAGACTGCTTCAGCACATTCCTTAGAGCCTCAACCCGATGCCTTTAGTTGACGTTTTGCTTGGAATTTGGGGGCATCAGCAACTTGGAGCTTCCGAAGAAGGCTTGATAAGGATGCAGGTTTAGGGTGGTCATACTTTACCCTTTTTTCTCTCCCCTGCCCCCCGTCCAGAGTGGTGATCATGAGTTCAATCCTTGAGCACATGTGTGCTGATGTCCTGCAGCAGACAGCTGCGAATATCAAGTTCTCAGCCACAGGGGTCGTCACTATGCCCTACTGGAACTTCCTTCCTGCCAAGAAGCCAATCAAAGAGTGCTGATGGGCGTCTTCTCCAAGTGCTGGAGAAAGGCTGGGTGGACAGCCGCTCCATCCACATCTTCGACACCTTCTGCACAGGAGAATAAACCTGCAGATGGTGCATAATTCTGTTCTGCTTTACTGGGGAGAGGAGAGACTGCGCTCAGCCCTCTGCCACTTAGAAATCTTTGCTCAGCCCTCGCTTTTGAGCTTTTAGCAGGTATTGCTAATACACTTTCAAGAGAAGAGGAGCGGGTTTGGAATGGGGGGAGGGAATGGCTAATGATGCTCCTATATTACTGACAGGTTTTCCCCTTGATTCTTTCCCTCCCTGTATATCTTTGCATCTGAGCAGGCAGATGAAATGGCAAGAAGCGTGTCTGAGCATCTCTGCTCTATCTTGGAGATCCTGAACGCTTGGGAGAACGGGGTTCTCACTTTGAGTCCGTCCAGGTAATGACAAAGAGCAGCATTTCTAGTGAGCCTTGTATACAAAGGAGAGTGTTGCTGTTCACCTTTAAAAGCCCACCACCATTCAGAAGCAAAAATCCGAATCGGGAATGGTGCAAAAAATCTGGCTGTACCATGCAACAGGGAGCTGCGTGTTTCTCCCTTTAATAGAAAGAGAAAACTGTAGCAACAACGCACTACACAATCCTGATGATTTGGTGCTTAGGCTTTTTTTTCTCTTGCATCGGTACATATGGATGCATAGAATTGAGAGTTGGACGTGATCTTACAACTCTGCTGCAGTTGCAGTATGTTTGGTATCCAAACATCCCTCAATGATGAAAAGTAAAAATCTAGAGTCTCAAACAGCTGCCTTCTTGCTTACTTTCCCTCCTCCTCCTTCTCCTCCTCCTCCTCCTCCTCCCTTCCCAGAAAATCACAGACAACATCAAGGGGAAGGTGTGCAGCATGGCCGTGTGCGCTGTGGCCTGGCTCGTAGCTCACGTCCGTATGCTGGGCTTGGACGAGAGAGAGAAGTCATTGCAGATGATCCGGCAAGTTGGCAACTCCCCTGTATGCTGAAAAACACCCTGCAGTTCTACAGTGAGAGGCAAGTAAAGAGTCTGGGGTAGCAGAAAACAGGGTGTTAAGCTAAGGGTTTAAAATGTGGGGTAAAGGCTGCATCTGCAGGGCAGGTTAACCTGCTTGTATTCTGCTTTGTGTCCCCGCTGCGTGTTCTGCTTTTTTGTATGATTTCCATGCTGATATCACGTGTCTCATAAAAAAACACTGACTTAGGCATCCTGAAAGATCAGAAATAACTGGGAGGCCGGCCCAGGCTTTTTGCTGCATTAAAAAAAAAAAGTTCAAATACTCTTGGTTAAAGGCATAGTGCTGATAGTGCCAAGGTTGGCAGGTTTGATTCCCCTTATGGAACAGCTGCATATTCCTGCATTGCAGGGGGCTGGCCTAGATGATCCTCAGGGTCCCTTCCAACTCTTACCATTCTGTGATTCTGTGGCTCACAGGCCAGTACAGGCAGTGAGCAGTTGATCAGCCACGTTGGGCCTACTCTGGCTACCAGGCCGCACTGCCGCTGTTTCTTAAGGTGGCCATCCTGGGACAAAAAGAGCATCAGAGGGAACCTGCAGTGTGAAGCTGCTGAATTGCCACTCATTCATCTGGGTCTGAAAGGAGACAATGGTTTCCCTGTCCCAGTGCGAGTGTTAAATTACACAAGCAGCGCTAAGATATTCTGTTATTCCCCGATCACTGCTTGCTGTTGAAGGGTCATTTTGCAAATATTAAGCTCCTGGTCAAAGACTGCTTCAGCACATTCCTTAGAGCCTCAACCCGATGCCTTTAGTTTGACGTTTTGCTTGGAATTTGGGGGCATCAGCAACTTGGAGCTTCCGAAGAAGGCTTGATAAGGATGCAGGTTTTAGGGTGGTCATACTTTTACCCCTTTTTCTCTCCCCTGCCCCCCGTCCAGAGTGGTGATCATGAGTTCAATCCTTGAGCACATGTGTGCTGATGTCCTGCAGCAGACAGCTGCGAATATCAAGTTCTCAGCCACAGGGGTCGTCACTATGCCCTACTGGAACTTCCTTCCTGCCAAGAAGCCAATCAAAGAGGTGCTGATGGGCGTCTTCTCCAAAGTGCTGGAGAAAGGCTGGGTGGACAGCCGCTCCATCCACATCTTCGACACCCTTTCTGCACATGGGCGGAGTCTACTGGTTCTGCAACAACCTTGTCAAGGTACGGGGCACATGCGAGTACTGTACTTTTTCAACAGCTAGAAAAAAGACTTCACCTATTGGAGGCCTTACGTTGTAAATGGTTTTCCTAAAATTATTGTGGGTGCCATGCTTTAGTAGAAGATGTGGGTTGTAAATGCTTAATAAATAAGTGGAATAGCTTTGCTTTTCATAAAACGGGTTGCTTTACCTAAGTGGTCAAAAGGCTCTAAATTTGTTCTGAAAACCCTCACCTACTCTCCTGCAAGGCAGAAAAGTTTTTTTTCTGCATTCCCAGTTGGCTGAGGCAAGACTGAAGCAGAGAGAGAGAGAGAGTGGCTTGCCTCTAAGTCACCCAAGGGATTCTCATGATGACGCCATGATTTGGATTCTTGGCCTTACCGTAGCTCATTAGCCTAGATGAGGATACTCGGAATTGCCAGTCTCTTGATGCCTGGCCTCAGCTGCATGCCTTCCTATATGCATATTTGAGAAAGACCTGTGAGCTAATTAGGAATAGTCAAGTCACATAATTCTAAGCTCACTCCCCCCTCCCCCCCGATATATTGCCTGTTATTAATAATAATAATAATAATATAATAATAATAATAATAATAACTTACACCCCACCCCTATGACTAGGTAGCCCCAGCCACTGTGGGCAGCTTCCAACAGAATATAAAAAAACCAAGAGGAACATCAAACATTAAAAACTTCCCAGTACAGGGCTGTGTTCAGATGTCTTCAGAACATCTGATGGGAGGGCGTTCCATAGGGCAGGTGCCACCACCGAGAAGGCCCTCTGCCTGGTTCCCTGTGGCTTTACATTTCACAATGAGGGAGCTTCCAGAAGGGCCTTGGAACTGGACCTCATTGTCCAGGCTGAACGATGGAGACAGAGACTAAATGTCCACAGTGATGGACTCAGGTGGAACTGCAGAGCAGACAGTTTCCAAAGGTTCAGGACCATGACAGACACAGCCCTGGGGGTATTTGTAGCTGCATGTAGTGGACTGAATGCCTCCTAAGTATATTCCCTGCTCCTAACCATCTGAGAGGTGGGCTTATGTGGGTCAAAATTATGCCTCTCTCTCTACCTACCCCCTCCACTTCTTTCTGTTGGGGATACTGCAAGAGGAATGTTTCTTCTGCTGTGTTTAGCTGCACAGTGCTTTTCTATGGGGCTGTTTCTGACCACTGACAAAGCGTGGGCGAGAGAGAGAGAGAGAGAGAGTCTGTGTGAGCTTTGTCCGCGGCCCTAGGCTGCCACAGGCTCCCAGAGTAGTTTGGCGCTCATGGCATTAAGCAAGGAGCGAATGTCGCTGCTCGTTGCCCCTACCCTCTTGTCACTTTCTGTTGTCCTCTCTTCCCTCTCAGGAGCTGCTGAAAGAGACCCGGAAAGAGCACGCAATGCGGGCTGTGGAGTTGCTCTACTCCATTTTCTGCCTGGACATGCAGCAGCTGACGCTCACCCTCCTCGGCCACATCCTGCCCAATCTGCTCACAGACTCCTCCAAGTGGCATATGCTGATGGATCCTCCGGGCAAGGCTCTTGCCAAGTAAGAGATGAGCAGACAGGTGTTAATGAGCCCCAATTCTGTGCCGGTATGAAATCCACAAGCCAAAACTTGATGTGATGTTAAGAACACCGGTGCCATTTTTTTTGCACAGTTTATTCAGTTTCTGGTTGCCATGAGAAAGGGAAAAATATTGAGTGCAGAAGCTCTGTCTCCAGCTTCCTGGGAATCCTGCATTCCGTAGTTACCAGGTACTAGTGAGGTTACAGGGAACCAGGCAGAGGGCCTTCTCAGGAGTGGCGCCTGCCCTGTGGAATGCCCTCCCATCAGATTTCATGGAAATAAGCAACTATCTTACTTTTAAAAGACATCTGAAGGCAGGGAAGTTTTTAATATTCGTTTGAGAGCCGCCCAGAGTGGCTGGGAAACCCAGCCAGATGGTAAAGGTATAGGGACTCCAGACCATTAGGTCCAGTCATGGCCGACTCTGGGGTTGCAGCGCTCATCTCGCTTTATTGGCCGAGGGAGCTGGCGTCCAGCTTCCGGGTCATGTGGCCAGCATGACTAAGCCACTTCTGGCGAACCAGAGCAGCGCACGGAAACGCCGTTTACCTTCCCGCCAGAGCGGTACCTATTTATTTGCACTTTGACATGCTTTTAAACTGCTAGGTTGGCAGGAGCAGGGAACGAGCAACGGGAGCTCACCCTGTTGCGGGGATTTGAACCACCGACCTTCTGATCGGCAAGTCCTAGGCTCTGTGGTTTAACCCTCAGCGCCACCTGCGTCCCAGCCAGATGGGCGGGGTATAAATAATAAATTATTATTATTATTATTATTGCCCTGTACCCTTTCAAGCCATGAAAGCTAGAGTCTTTCCTTCCTTCCTTCCTTTCTTTCTTTTGAAAACATTTTGCTGAGCACTTAAAAAAATGTCAAATAATGATAGCTGAAAGCTAGAAGTGGGGAAGCAATAAGACATGGGAAGTTAAAAAATGACCACAAATTGCAAATGCTGTTATAGGCAAGCTTTGGGAATGAAACATGGGAGTCCTTCCAGCCCATCTCCAAGGCCCTCCTAGAACTTCAAAGCTGAATTCCCACAAACACTAACAAGAAACATATTTTTATGCATCAAGGCAGTAAAAATGGCACAGTTTCACAACCCAAATGCAAGCTTCTAGGGTTCACTCCATTAAACCACAAGCTCGGCTTTTCTCATATTGCCCCAGCAATATGTTGTTTCCCCCCATTGAGGCCGCCTTCCATGCTTAGCGTGACATCTTGTGTGCTAGGGTACCAGGGATGATGGGGTCCAGGGAGTCGAGTGGGAGTGGAAGAATGCATTTATTGATGTAAACTTAAGGAGACATTCTCTGATTACTGATCTCCTCCAAATAGGATGCTAGTTTCCCTGTACTCCATATACGGTATGAGAATGTCGTGGTTCATGAAAACCCACATCCAGTAAGGAAAAGCAAAAAATAAATAAAAAATCACTTGTCCTTCTTTGGAGCTGATGTATGTTTCTTTTTCCATTAGGCTGTCTGTGTGGTGTGCCTCCAGCTCTTACTCCTCCCACAACAAGGGGCAGACCTCAGCTTGGCAGCGCAAGAGGCACCGAGAAGATATAGAGGTAAACTGCTGTTCCCACAAGGATGTTGGGAAGAGGAAAACGGGCCGCAGTGGATTGATAAGCGCAATTGGAGTGGCTGCATTTGAAGAGGCGAGAGGAATGAATGGGGGAAGGAGAATTGTGCAAAAATGCAAACTTGTACAATTTTCAGTTGTAAAATTTAATTATGTTTTTTCCTTTTAAAAAATTAATTGCAATTTTAAATTGTAAGCTTTGAGATTGTAGCAAAGGAATTGTCTTTCCTTGACCTCTAAGAACATTAGAAACCAGCAACACCTTGTTGGATCAGACCAAGGATTCAAATCAACTAGCCTTTTGTTTCCAGGAACAGCCAGTCAGTTGCCTCCGAGAGGCTCAGAAACAGGGCATGGAAGTGACAACCTTCCCTTAATTTATGTTCCCAAAATCAACCTGGTATTGAGGTTCTTTTTCATTACCATGCCTAATAGCTGTTGATAGACGTGTCCTTCATGAATTTGTCAATCCTTCAACAAGGTGATCTGATCATGGTTAGCTATCTTCCCCGCCCCCTTCTGATAATGTGTGGCATCTTGGACTGCATGCAACCCTATCTGAAATAATTTCGGACTTTAGTTTTCCTTACCTGCTTGCATTAAAAAAAAATATATGCAGACCCCTGAGATATGAAACTTTTTATGATACCAAAGTGACTCCCTATGTTCACTAAGCTCTTGGGCAGGCATAGGTAGACTTGGCCCTCCAGATGCTTTGGGACTACAACTCCCATCATCCCGGACCACTGGTCCTGTTAGCTAGGGATGATGGGAGTTGTAGTCCCAAAACATCTGGAGGGCCAATTTCCTCCTGTAGATGGAAATTGCGTTCCACCATCTGTTGGCGCAGATATTTCATCTCCGTCAGGTGCGCTTGAACATCTCCATCAGGCGCAAGCCTCAGATTGGTCAGCTTCTCAAAATACAGCAACGCTGAAGAACCAGCATCCCTCTGATGTGTTCTACGCAGCGTCTCCCAAATCTCTCGCGCGTATTCTAAATCCTGAATATGCACCAATTGGCAATCTGAGACACACAGAATTATAGCCGTCCTGGCCTTTACATTCTGTGATTCCCAACCTCTGGTTGGTGCTGCAGGAATGGGGTTCTCAATCACCCCAAAGATCCTCTGATTCTGCAGCAGGGACGTGGCTCTGCAGTGTCAGAAATTCCAAAAACAATTATTATTAAGTGAGCACACACAGGATGCGGGTGGACGCGGGTGGCGCTGTGGGTAAAAGCCTCAGCGCCTAGGGCTTGCCGATCGAAAGGTCGGCGGTTCGAATCCCCGCGGCGGGGTGCGCTCCCGTCGTTCGGTCCCAGCGCCTGCCAACCTAGCAGTTCGAAAGCACCCCCGGGTGCAAGTAGATAAATAGGGACCGCTTACTAGCGGGAAGGTAAACGGCGTTTCCGTGTGCGGCTCTGTCTCGCCAGAGCAGCGATGTCACGCTGGCCACGTGACCCGGAAGTGTCTCCGGACAGCGCTGGCCCACGGCCTATAGAGTGAGATGGGCGCACAACCCTAGAGTCTGGCAAGACTAGCCCGTACGGGCAGGGGTACCTTTACCTTTACTGAGCACACACAGAGAAAAAAAGTTCTGTATGAAAACAAGAAGTGTGGCGCACAGGGGAACAGGAAAGTCTTTTTTTCCCTCATTTATCCCTTGCTTTCTCCCTGGGTGCTTTTTCAGTTGATCCAGTGAAGGAGAAAAAACATAGTTTAGTAAGAGTATATACTTGGGTTACAGGAGACCCCAATTTCAGTTTTCAGCATCTCCTGGTAGGGCTGCAAAAGATTTCTGCCTGAATCCTAGAAGAGACACAGCAAGTCAGGGTATAAAATACTCTGGTAGGCAGACCGACAGTCTGACCTTGGTACAAAGCAACCTTCCAGGCTGGTGACTGGGAGTGGCTGCTGAGACCATATAACACCAGTTCTGAGAGACATACAATGGCTCCCAGCATGTTTCCGAACACAATTCAAAGTGTTGGTGCTAAACTTTAAAGCCCTAAACGGCCTCGGCCCAGTATACCTGAAGGAGCGTCTCCACTCCCACCCTTCAGCCTAGACACTGAGGTCCGGCTCCGAGGGCCTTCTGGTGGTTCCCTCACTGTGAGAAATGAAGCTACAGGGAACCAGACAGAGGGCATTCTTGGTGGTGGCGCCCGCCCTGTGGAATGCCCCCCCCCATCAGATGTCAAGGAAATAAACAACTATCTGACTTTTAGAAGACATCTGAAGGCAATCCTGTTTAGGGAAGTTTTTAATATTTGATGTTTTATTGCTTTATTATTATTATTATTATTATTATTATTATTATTATTATTCTGTTGGGAGCTGCCCAGAGTGGCTGGGGAAACCCAGCCAGATGGGTGGAGTATAAATAAATTTATTATTATTATTATTATTATTATTATTATTATTATTATTATTATTATTATTCCTGTTTCCGTGAGATCAGTGTGCAAAAGCAGCTTGTCACATTTGCAAATGAAACAGAAATTTTACAAACAAGAGGAGGGATAGCATTTAGTTTCTGCAGTGTGTCACATCCATTGTGGAGTAGCTCAACCCTGTGAGGTAGGTTAGAACTGGAGTTTGAATTGGGGGCTTGTGGGTCACAGCTCGGTCTCAGGCATCACACTACAATGGCTCTCTAGCACCTCTTCTTCCTTCTTTTAAATATGCTGATGAGAAATGTAGTATGTGAATCATCCTTTTTTTTGAGAGAGAGGCAAAGGTACAAGTCCATACATGAATGACAAAATCAGGGCCAGACCACCTGCCTTATTCATGGTTGTGTATATCAGTAACCGTGAAGGACTCTTTTCTGTCCTTTCGGTTCCTCTTCCAGGATTACACCAGTCTCTTCCCGTTGGATGATACCCAGCCTTCCAAACTGATGCGCCTGCTCAGCTCCAATGAGGAAGACACCAGCATCCTGTCTAGCCCCAGTAAGTGGAATCATGGTGAGAAAGCTTTTCCTGGAATTAATGAGAGTCCAAACAGGCTCCCTGGAAAAGACTGGCCAATCTTGAATCCATTCTAAAGCTCATTCCACTTCCTCTCTCTCTCTCTCCTTTTAATCACGTCAAAACAACACCGTCTCTCCATCTAGGAGGATTCAGATTAGATGGATCTATTTAAAACATTTTAATATTTTGCTTTTTTAAAAAAAGTTATTTATTGTGAACTGTGCTTTCTCCAAGATAATAAGTAAATAGGTATAAGCCACAGGGAATGAATGTGGGGATTGCTTTGTTTGCTTCAGGGAAAATTTAGGTGTGCTGTTTGGAATGGGTGGAGGCGTCAGAGCTCAATGTAGATCACGTGCCAATGCAGCTCCTCAGCTATCTAGCAATTCTAGCCCTTATTGGAGGCTTCAACACATCATTTTGATTTGTAATTGTGTCCCCTGAGAGGGTATGCTACCAGGAGCATGTAAAGGTAAAGTTTCCTACCTTGCTGACTTTTTAAAAGTTAAGGATAGCGGCGCAGCGCAGAACACTGTTGGCAGTGGAAGTGTCCAAAACAGTGTCTGGCTCAGCGTAGGCATCCAGCTCGGATGGAAGAATCTCTTGATATGAAGGAAGACATGGCGCAGGAACTAAAAACCCAAAACTACTAGATGGAAGGAAGACAAAAGTCCCTACCAGAGAAGAATGCAGGTTACGTTGATGGATTATGCTGAAATGGCAAAAATGACCAGAAGAAATCAGGAAGACCAAAATTTCAATAAGGAATGGGGGAAATGTATAATTTATCTTAAAAACCATTGTGTAAACATCTAAAATCGTTAGTAGGATTGTAATAGCACTTGTAGTTTAATGTTGAGTTTTGGATATAATGGAGATGTGAAAGGTTTGGGTTGTTATAAAAGATGCGGGAGGAAATGGTTAACACAAGGACCCACAAAGGGGAGGAAGGAAGTTCAGGAGTTTGTTTGGAATCTTGTTTTTATGTTGGTTGCTGGACTGTAAAACTTTAAACTGAAAAACTACATATTTTTTTAAAAAACGAAAAACTACTTAGAAAGAACAGAGACCTGGGTGGGCTGTGTCCAGGAGGAGCTGTAAAAGCTAGGAAAAGGTGCTTCATGCTACAAATCCCACTTGGGCTTTCTGTGTTCTGGGGGACCAAGAGCCACATGCAAAGAGAAAGGCCACTTTCCTTTGCAGCTCCAGTTATCAGCTCACAAATGAGAACAAGGAGATCAAATGATCAGTAACTTTGTCAGTAGGGGAAACTAGTGACCTCTTGTTTATGGATATGGAGAACATCACTGCTCATCACCTTGGATTCTTGCCCGGTGATTCAGAGATCTTGTTTTTGTATATTTCCATTGCTCTCGAGGCCCGTGATTTCCCTTTATTTCGTTATCCTTTTGTTGTGGTTTTACTTTTGTCTACATAACAATGCAATTGGGGAGTTTTCTCTCCCTAATTCCTCCTGTCATAGCAGTGATTTGGCACACCCGTGTTTCCTCTCTGATTTGCATACAAGATTATTTACAACCAAGCCTCTATCCTTGATCCAGCTATGAATCAGAGGGAGTGTTGGAATTTAACTTCCTTTCTTCCAGTGTCATTGCATTTGATTCCACTCTCAGGGCAATTCCATGGCAGAATTGTGGAAATGGATAGAGAAGGTCTGTGAAACCCACCATCCAAGGCTGGACTGCTTAGCTTTTAAACACTTGGTGGTGCAGTTGATTTTGTAACCTGTCTTTGTACATTCCTCAGTTATGCCATGTAGAACAGATCTGGGCACAATTGGCGCTGGATTCAGCAGTTGACCAATCTCTGTGTTCATTTCTTCTTTAAAAAAGAAGTAGTTTCTAGTCCTCTTAGGATATTTGCAGCAGGTACTCAATCACACCTTGTTCATTTTTCTTTTTTTAGTGTTCTAACATGCAATGTGGTAAGATGAAGTTAAATCTTTACATTTATATAGTGCAGGGGTGGGGAACTGGTTATAACTAGCGGGCCAGATCGTTCTCCCTCTCTCTACCAACAGCCAGGTCTAAATTTGACAAGTGGGCAGGGCCACCACCTGTCATTCACCTGACATCAGACAATGACATCAAGTGACCCTTATTTGCCCACATGGTTTGAAATCAATGTGCTGGCAGAGGGGCAGCCTTCAAAGTGCCAGTGATTAACTGATCTTCGGATCTTGGGAGTCCCCTTGCAAACCGCTCTGGAAGACCAGATGATCTTGCTGGATCTTGACAAACTCTTCACAGGACTCGATGATCAGCTGATTCTTGAATGTTGCAAAGCCCTGTGTGCAGTGCTTTGTTGGTGCCACCAATCAGCTGATCGCCAATGCTGCAAACCCCCATTTGGCTTGATCCAGGTCTTTATGCATCCCATACCTGTCATCATATATTACATCAGGCATAGGGCAGGTGCACAGGGCTTGTCCAAAACGGCCTCACAGAACAAATTGGGGGCAGTGGGCTGGCAAAGCCTAATTATGCCTGCAGGCTGGAGCTTCCGCACCCCTGACAGACTGCTTTCATATTCCCAAATTTTTTCACTTACGTTACTATGTTGTAATCCTTCCAATAATTGTGCATAGTAGGTCAGTGCTATTATTCCCATAATGCAAATGCCTGAGAGAAAATGGCTTGAGGCCTTCCTTGTGGAGGTAACATACTTTGAACACTTGGAAATTCTAAATTGTGGTGCTGTTAGTTTAGTGTAATGTTGTTGAACATTAGGATGGTGATCCAACATGATCAAAGCGACTTGCCAGAAACCTGCTGCTGCTGCCACCTTGTCATCCCAAGCCCCTCAGGCAACCATTAGAAAAGGGAAGGAAGGTCCAATTCAAAGGCATTTCCTGTTTGGGACGCAAGTGGTCACCAAACTCTGGTATTTTCTCTACTTTCAGCAGACCGCACGATGAGCACTTCGCTGTCTGCCTCGCAGCTGCACACAGTCAGCATGAGAGATCCTCTCAACAGAGTCCTAGGTAAGCCTCTTCAGTCCTAGCTAAGCGGAGGGGAAAGTTATAGAAGCAGGCCAGGCACCCAGCTGGCCTGGTTGAAATGTAGCTCAGTTTATGTAGGGCTTCGTTTGATGATCACTAGGGGCTCAGCTGTGAAACCTGCTTTTGAGCATTTCATGGAATGATAGAGGCAGAAGGGGTCTTTGAAGTCATCTAGTCCAACCCCCCCCCCCCTTTATCAATGCACAATCTGCAGTGTAGTATAAAATGACGACATCTCTGCCAGGTGGTCATCTAGACTTCGCTTAAATCAAAGCAGGGGAACCTATCCCCTCCTGAGGCAGTCTGTTCCACTGCCAGGCAGCACTATGTTAAATCTCTCCAGTACCATGAACTCCCTGCTTGGTGGCCTTGGGCAAGCCACAGCCTGTCAGCGTGCGGTTACTGATGTTGGCATAAACTGAATCGTGGCTGCCAAATGAAAACCTGTTGGAGATATAACTGCAACAATAGCACTTTGTGGGGTTCTTGTAAGGATCACAGAGAAAAGATGCACTTGAAATTCTATCTATAGATACAGATGCATGTATGTTAATATTACTACCTTCATACCTTGGAAGTCGAATGGAATCCGTTCCGGAAGTCCGTTCAACTTCCAAAGCATTCAACTTCCAAAGCACAGCTTCTGATTGGCTGCAGGAGCTTCCAGTCGAAAGCCACAGAAGCCCCATCGGACGTTCAGCTTCAAGAACGTTCGAAAACCGGAACAGTCACTTCTGGGTTTCAATCATTCAGGAACCAAAATGTTTGAGAACTAGGGTCTTCGAAAACCAAAGTATGACTGTATTTTTAAAAACTGAAAAGGCCTCAAAACAGGGGTTTAGAGGAGACAATGCTTAGTTCCTCCCTCTTCTGCTCCCCAGCCAACCTCTTCCTGCTGATTTCTTCCATCTTGGGAGCCAAGACAGCCGGGACACACACACAGTTTGTTCAGTGGTTCATGGAGGAGTGCGTAGACTGCTTGGAGCAAGGAAGCCGTGGCAGCATCCTCCAGTTCATGCCCTTCACCATGGTGAGCAACTCCCATTTTCCTCTTGAAGATTTCTGTAGTCTCTCTTCGGGCTCCTGGTCCATTGCTGCTCTCTAGCAAAGCTTTTGGCTTATAGGGGGTTGCAGGGAGACTTCTTCCATGTGACCTGAGTAAAGGCCCATTCCCTGCAGTTTTGCTCACTCAGCAGTCACAATTCAATATGGCCCCTGGGAAGTAAGGAATCATTAAGGGAAGCCACCTCCATACCTTTGGGTGCCCTGTTTTAGCCCCTTGAACTTCTGAGCCGTGTGGAAAGAACTGTCACCTGGATCTCGGTCCTAGTTGGTTCTTTGCACTTCAGAGTTCAGATTTGGATGAATTTAACAGATAGAGAACCACATAATGTTAGGGGTGTTTGCTTCCAAAGTGGCTAAACAGTGGTGTACAAAACAGGTGGGTTTTGTGTGTGTGGCGACAATGCACTATATACCAGCAAAAGTGTTACTATGAGCTAGGTGGGGTGGGGTGGGGATGCCTTCTAAGTACCCAACAGTCATATGACCTGGCCCAGAAAGGCACAAGCAAATCTTCCCTTTGCAGTTCCCCAATGCATGTAGACCAGTCTTCTCCAACTTGGTGCCCTCCAGATGTTGCTGGACTGCAGCTCCTATCTTCCCTGACCATTGGCATTGTTGGCTGAGACTGGTGGGAGACATAGTATAGAACATCTGGAGAGCACCAGATGGAGGAAGGCTGGTACAGATGGTCCATATGAATCCAAGTCACTTTGGTTCTCTGTTGTTAGGAAAGGCAGACACTAGAGGGAGTCTGTTGGAAGGAATTGACAGCTCCAGAGACAATGACAGAGGAGTAAGTGAGGGTCACCCTAAGCTGCAATCCTGTGTACAATTACTTGGTGTAAAGCCCATTGAACACAGTGGGACTTAACTGCTGATTAAGCTTGCATAGGAATGTACCGTTAAATACATATCATAGGTTGAGAGAAAATGTACTCAGGGAACATAATTGATCCGTTTCTTTGACTCGTACATGCACATACCTTCCTCTTTGAAGAAGCACTAGAGATGTGAGTTTTGCAGAAATATGAAGGTGGGAATTGTCCCCAGCTTTTGATGGTGTCTGTTGTGTGCATATAAAACTATATGTTTAAAGCTTTGTTGAGTTTGCACATTACAGAATGTTGGGGTTGATGTAGAATGTAATCCTGCAGACTTTTCAAAATCATGTGTATAGAAAAACAGTTGAGAGGGAACAATTGTTGAAAGGAACAAAATAATAATAACTGTTGTCATTATTATATTTATTCTGCTTTACCTGTTATTCCACCTTGAGCATAACAGGTAAGGTTCCAGTATCTCCTCAGCTACTGTTAATCCTATGCTGGGAGTGCCTAGGCCAGAAGGTATAAATTTTCATTATCAACCTCTTCTTAAAGGGAAAAAGATCTCATGGGGAAATCTACTCCCTCACCACCCTGGAATTTCCAGCTTCCTCAGCATCCAAAAGACTCTGGGAAAAGAGGGTTGTGTAAAGGCAAATTAAAGATTTTCATGCCTTGAGGAAAAGCAGAAAGGATGAAGCCCAGGCCAGGGAGTTTAGGTCATCAGCTCCTGAACAAACTTCCAGTAGCCTGAGATACGCCTGCTGTTCTCTTGTAACTCTCCTTATCCTCTGTATTTCAAATTTGTTTACTGCCCAGAATGCCTTGGCAGAAAGACAATAAAAAAAATTTATTGACCTTTTGTAGCTATTTATAGCTTACAATTCCATGAATCATGCCCAAGTCTGCTAATATTTACAAGTGCAGTAAATAAATATAAACACCCCTACACGCGGTATGAGACACAGGCTAGGCAGTGCATCTGGACCAGTGCCACAAGCTCTCTTGAGTTGTTGCTTTGCCATGGAGGGAAATGGGTCACTTCAAAGATGAACCTACACTGCACCCCAGAGCTCACTCTGCTAGCATCTACTTGCCACTGACATGTCTTCCTTGACCTCTTTCCCCTTCTTTACTTCTGGGCAGGTGTCGGAGTTGGTGAAAGCATCCACCATGTCTAGCCCCAGAATTGTGCTGGCCATCACGGATCTCAGCTTGCCTCTGGGACGCAGGGTGGCAGCCAAAGCCATCGCTGCCTTATGAGCATCCCATGGGTCCTGCTGCGGGTGAGACGGGGAACCCTAAGAGCAAAATCCCACCCATGGGATAATGGAGAATACTCTCTGTTCCAAGGAAGCTGCCACATGGCGTGCGTTGAATTGTGTACATGCTCTACAGAAGTGAGCGTTGCTGTGATGAGAAAATACGCCAGGGCAGACCCCTGAGTTGGTTTCCAAGGCATCTCAAGAGTGTCCTTCCAGTTGGTTTGGAGTCCCCATGGTTGCCATCCCAGCTTTTCCAAGGAACCTTGGCGTTCCAAGTCTTTCAATCCACACTTCCACTTCTCAAACCTGTGACGTCTGAATGTGTCCATCAGTTTTTGCTAATACTCCCCCCCCCTTTGTTTGTCTTGTTTTATAAATGCCTGGGTGTATCTTTTTCTCTTTCATGGTCAAATACTTGAACATATCTACATATACAAGCAGCACATCCCATTACAAGGTGTCTCAGAAGTGCCATGGTTTTTGATATTTTAGCAGTATGTTTAAAAAAGTTACAGAAATCATTATGAAAACAGCTATATTCTTTTATATATGTATGTGTGTATATATATATATAGTTTTTATTCATTTTCAACAATATAGCAGTTTAACAATGTATAACATGTATTCTCAATCTAAAAAATACAAAAACAAATTTAAAAAGCTTCTGATCAAGACATCATTATAATTACATTCAACAATTTTCTAATTAGGTCCATTATGTTTCAGCATGGAACAAAGCCAGCCTGGTCTGGGGCAACCAGATGTACAATAAGTGTTTTATATGATTGGCTAGCACAGAGGTAAATATCTTGATTCATCAAATAGCTTTATTCTATACCACTATTTTCCTTTTCAGGAATATAGAGGCTGAATTTTGCAAACAGGAGAATGTTGACAATCCTACATGCTTCCCCTCCTTGTCTTTGTGTATATAAGTTTAGACAATTTCAGTTGCTTTTTTGTATAAATACTGGGGAGAATCCTCTTAATAAATTCATATGGTGAAACACAGAGCTATGTTTATCCCCTGGTTCCATGATCATACCTTGGAAGCAGAGATTTTGGGATTGCACACATAACTGAACATCCTGGGAATCTCAGCAAATTTCTAATCATTATGGATACAAAAATACAGTGGCGTAGCGTGGGTTGTCAGCGCCCGGGGCAAGGCAAGTAATTTGCGCCCCCTAACCCGTGGATTTGCGCCCCCTAACCTGTGGATTTGCCCTAACCCCAGATGTTGCGCCCGGTGCGGCCGGCCCCCCCTGCACCACCCACGCTACGCCACTGCAAAAATAGGCTTTTAAAAGGAGGCTGTTTTTGGTGGGAATCCCAGGAGCTTAGATAGGATAGTGTTGGACTACTGAGCAGGGGTTTTAAGGCCCTCAACCTCATTTTATTTCACCCTCAGCACGTTAAAATTAACAGGGGGTCTTGCGTTAGCTTTATTATGGCATAAGCTTTCGTGAACTGGAGCCTACCATCGAAAAAAAATCTTATACCATATTAAATTTGTTAGTCTTTAAGATGCCACTAGACTTTGATTTTTCTGCTACAGCAGCCTAACCTGGTTACCCTTCTGTAAAAATGTTTGCCTTAAAATTGGTTGCCTTTACATTCCTGATCTAGGATTGCTGTAGATGAGGAAGTGCCACTAAACACCTATGGTTTCCTGGAAATTCCAGAATTTGTGAATGTGATTGCTCACAATGTGATCGTAAACCATTTGTCTTATTTTATTGCACACATGAGTAATAGGCAGTTCATCCTGCATTCCTTCTGATTCTTGTGACAAGGTCAAGGGGTGGTGGGGTTTTTTTAATTACCTTTGGAATTGTTTCCTTGCAATATACCATGGAAGACTTGGTGAGGATCATTAAGGAGATAGCTGTAAAGATTATTGCAACCACCAGTTGAGTTCTTTGTGACATGGCTTGAACCTGCCTCCCAATGTGTAGCAGATTGTGTTTGAGTTCTGACAAGTTGGACATGGGATGTCAGAGAGCTGGGTGGCTTTCAAATTGGGGAAGAAGAGTCTGACCAAGAGACTCTGCCAGAGGCTTTGTGTCATGCACTTATATGCCACACAGCTGGGACAGTTTGCTAATGAAAGTGGTGGGGTTGCTGATCTAGAACCCAACCATTCATGCTGGGTGAAACTCAAAGCCGAAAACAGTAAGACTTTGTGATGACGTTGGCCCCACCCTACTTCCACACGCATTGTAGGGTGGCATCATCCTGGCAAAACTGCAGCCATGTCAGATAGACTCCCACCTAGCCTCAAGCAACTTGTGGGTGGAGGGAAAAGTTGTCCAGAATCCATTCATGGAGATGAATGGGCTTTGCTCATTTGGTGGGGGTGGAATTCAATTGTCCCAGTTCTGTAAGGAAGCGGTTTTCCCTCTAGATCAAAACTGATTAATTAAGTGCGTACAGAAGAAATATGGGCAGAAAATTCAAGCAAGTGGATGAAGCTGTAGTTGCTTGGTGAAGGTGCATGAAAACCCCTGCCCACTGAACGGTCCAACCTGAGGGATGGGGTGACAATTCCTTCCTCACCACAAGTACCATTCCTGTCCTGAGCCAATATTTGTTTGCTAAAAGCAGTGTCAGTGCAGAAGGGCCGAAAAGAGTATCTTGTGAAACTTATTCTGACACTTCCAGCTAACGTCCAAAGCATCAGACTCCTGCTGCTTCGCCTGCAGAAAGGTGTTGCAGGGGGTTTAATATTTAGTTATGTTCTCTACAGCCATGGCAGGCACTGCAACCTGCCAAAGCTTGACCTCGCCCCCAAAGGCGCACTCCTCCATTGTCTCCTGAAACGGACCAATGAAAGCTACATATTACCTATCTATATGAATGCATCCATATAGCCTGCAGTCTAAAGTGATACAATCCATTCTGCCACCTCATTCCTTCCTCACTGTGCTGCGTGTGTAGACCAAGCCTGAGCTGGATGCACATCTAAAACTTGCGCATGTTCCCGTAGCTAAGATGCCAAATCATCACACTGGACATAACCCACAGGCATGGAAAGAAGAGTCACTCATGCATTATCTTTTCCCCACCCCGCCCTTTTTCCTTCTGTATGAGATCCAAATATTATTGGGGCTGAGTCTAATGATATGTTTAGTGGTTCAAAAGTCCCTGATACCTTATAGGGAGGGGGGCTAGGGAAATTCCCAGGATCTTCAGTAAGCCCTTCCTGATCTCCCATTGGATCCAGTAATATCTGAGTGTAATTTACAGGTATTCCTAAAGCCGTTTCATTCAGGATATCCTGGGTGTCATAGCAGCTCTTGCACATTTGCGTCAAGCGTTTCCCAATATGAATCATGAAACCCCAGAGAGTCTGAGGCATTCTGGACACGAGCAGGACCTAAGCATGAGGTAAGGAAACCTCACCACCTGCAAGCCGTGCTTGTGGGAATTGCCTGTGATGTACAAAGAAGAGCAAAGGAAAAACTGGGAACGAGCAGGGTTTCCAATCAGATTCTAGACTATTTGTTTGGCTGGCGCACGGCAACACCCCCATGTCTCAATCACACACAGGCACACAGCCAGCGCACAGCTAGCCTGAAAGCGATTGCCAACCAATCGCTGCAAACTGGACTCTGCTGATATGTATTCCATACAAATTTTAATGGGAATTGTGATCTGAACTCGGTAGGATGGTCAGCCTTTTGCCTGGTTGGCTTGGTGAAACGTGTAAAAGGGACCCTAGTGGATTTGGAGTCGATGCTGTTCTTGGAGTCTGGGTTGTGTTTCCTTCCTGTTTGGCTGGATGAGGAAGCAACAACTGACCCCAGTTCATCGTCCAGAACGCTGTTGGTTGCCAGGATTTGCACTGGAGCAAGTACGCATGAAATTAATCTCAGGGTGACTCAAAATAAAGTGGTTACACTCTGTATTGGAGAGTGCTTATGTCTGTTTCCCCCCCTTCTTATTTCCTGTGAACAAGATATAAATAGCAGCATGAGTGGTCGTCCAATTCTTATGTAACCCCCTAGAGTTGGAGTGACTTCTTAAAAACGAAAGAGTGGGCCATAAATCCCACAACCCAGGGAGGGGATGATCAAGGTCTATTGCCTGTGACAGCAGTTGATTGACGTTGGTAGCGCAAGGGACTACAGAGGCCATAGTTGTAAATCTAGGGAGTTGAAATATGATGGAGGCCTTTGGCATGCGGAAAGTACGTCTGCAGAGCCTAGGCTCTAGCATGACAGGCTGTGATAAGAATGTGAAAAGAACATAGCCCAAATGAAGCAAACTGCCAGCCCCTCTCCCTCCCCAGCTTCCTGTTAGAGACTGCAGTGGCCCAACAGCAGAAGTGAGTAGCCTGTGGGCCGTATCTGCATGCGCCCCCAGCAAATTAGCAAATCTGAAAATCCAAACAGCTGCCAAATACCTACATGTTTATTGTTTTGTAATCAGAACAGTATTGTATATGCTTTCAGATTACAGAAGTAGCACCTGATACCATGTTATATTGAGTAACACTACATGAGTTCTATTTTTCTATAGTGTATTACATGTTTTTTATTGAAGATACAGGGGCAAAATTATATGAAAGTCCAGCAGCTGTTTTATTTCCCTTGCATTTGGATACACTCTAAACCAGCAAAAGGTAAAACTAGAGATGACTGATGCACACAAACCGTGGAGAAACAGGTGACAATTGCAAGCAAAAACTCTTTAAATGTCTGTCTCATTCAAAATCCAAACATTTAAAATTTTTACTATCTTACAGCTGTCATTGTGCAGACTGTCTGTGCAAGATTTCATCAAGTTAGGACAAATAGTCAACACAAATAGAAATGGATAACTAAGGAGTATTCCAAGCCAGTGTGAAACTTATACATTTTCGAAAACTGCTTTTTTTATCCAAATTCATGGTCGGTCGCAAGCTTGTCCTGTTGACCTGTTGACCCAAACTGAAAGCAATGTTGGTTTGTGGGACAACCAAGCTCTCCTGCTGAGAAGTTCAGTTCTTTTTGTTGGTAGCTTCTCAACATTTTGCAACTCAAGACTTTCCTTCCCTTGGCCCAGCCTGTTGAAGCTAAGTCAAGCTGATGCGCTTGTCAAAACCAAGGTTAGGAAAATTTGATTTCTGCAGGGATCTGTCTGAATGTGTGGAAATCAGAAGGAAATCCTTTCACTTTCTAAGAACTTGGCCTAGCAGAATACGTCATCAAGTCAGAATTTGGCAACAATGAGGAATGACTTCAAAGAATCCCACAGATGTCTGAGGGACCTCAAAGTAGGGTGGGGTGCCATGCTCATTTTGGTGCCCAAATTTGGTGCCCAAATTTCAAGCAGGAAGCTAAGAAAGAGTGAACAACTTCAAGGTACCCAACTTTTCAACTTCCGCTAACCCACTAGAGTGGTTGTATGTTGGATCATATCTGTGAAATCCAGCTTTCCTTGCCTCCTCAACCAAAGTCATGTTCCTTCCGTCATAACAGTCAATTAGTTTAAACATTCCACTGGCCCCTTCAAATAATTTGTGACCAACCACAAAACTCAGAAAGCACCACTGTCAGGATGAAAAGATTGCCAGCAGCTTGAAATAAGAATAATGCCAGACCCAACACAGTCGGAACACATCCTCCTTTTGGGATTTTTTTTGGTGGTTCAAAATCAGTTGAAGTGAGTGAAGTAGTACATGTTAACATTTAAAGGCACCCGCCGTAAGTAAAGAGCCCCCCCCCAAAAAACCATTAAGTCCAAAGTCCAAATTGCTTAACTGCACAGCTGTCTGGATTACATACTTAGGATATTCAACATAATGCTAAATCCTGATGTTTGGAAACAAGTAAACTTCCCCATCCCCATCTCTTTCTGCTTTGCATTTTAAGGGTTTTTTCCTTGTTTGCTTTCCCACTCTCCTTATTGTCCCCCCCCCCTTTCTTTCTGTTTTTCCAGTATTTGGTCTTAACCTTCCAACAATAAGCTCTTAACCTTTCGTTTTCTGCACCTCTCTGGTCCTGCAACCTAGGCAAACAGCAAGCAG